GGAAGTTGATTAACAGAGCCTGAATGACAATATAAAAATTTTGAAGACTTGGTACGTTCAATTACCCTAGATGTGTATTGAATTTATAGCATAATTAGACTGATTCAAGGTTCGAACATGTCAATGACCCTTGAACTATATAAACAACATTACCATTCTTAGATTTTCACAAGTTAGCAAGTGTTCCATAGCAATTGCCTAAATAATCGAAGCAAAATGAAGAAGACGGTAGCTGAAATTCTTTCATATGTCGCCCTATGGGCTGTGGTTTCCTCTCTTGCATATGCCTCTGATCCCAGTCCTCTTCAGGACTTCTGTGTTGCTGTCAATGATTCTAAAGCTGCTGGTACATGATGTTCCCCTCCATTTCTAAGCTTGGTAGAAATATTTGTATCAATCTAAATTTCCTTTTTATCGTCTGCTAATGCTTGCCAATTTTACTGTTTCTGTGCAGTGTTTGTGAATGGGAAATTTTGCCAGGATCCAAAGATGGCCACGGCTAATGATTTTTTCTTCCCCGGGCTCAACGTACCTAGTAACACGTCTAATAAACTCGGGTTCATGGTCAATCTAGTAACAGTTGCTCAAATTGGTGGACTAAACACCCTTGACATTTCAATAGCACGCCTTGATTTTGCACCATATGGCCTCGACCCTCCTCATACACACCCTCGTGCTAGCGAGATCCTCACTGTTGTGGAAGGTGCCCTCTATGTGGGATTTGTTACTTCCAACCCCGACAATCGTCTCATAAGCAAGGTCCTATACAAAGGAGATGTGTTTGTGTTCCCTATTGGTCTCATTCACTTCCAGCTAAATGTTGGAAACACACCTGCAGTGGCTATTGCCGCATTGAGCAGTCAGAATCCAGGAGTAAACACCATTGCAAATGCAGTGTTCGGGTCGAAGCCACCTATCTCTGTTGATGTTCTCACCAAGGCCTTCCAGGTTGACAAAAATGTGGTTAACTATCTTCAAGCTCAGTTCTGATAACAATGGCCGCTGAAAAGACATTTACATGATTGCTATTTCAAAGTTTATTAATTGTTTGAATAGAGAAGTGCACACTTTGCACATCACAAAATAAAATGAAGCTATTTTTATGACATACAAAATCTCTCTCTCTGTGAGTGTATTTCAATATCACGGAATGAGTTTCAAATATATTGCAGGACATATCACAAGCATTTTTCATTCCCAATCTCTGCAATGTTCAATCAAAAGCAACCAGAAAAAGTGTAATTATTTTTTATAAAATTCAAGTACTAATTGTTCCCTTTTAACATACTAATAACTTCACAAGCGATGACTATGCAAGCATATTCACATGTTTCTTTAGAAAAGGGCTCAACCAGTTGACCCACATGTACTTTGGCCCCACAGAAAATAAATAAATATTTATTTAAACTAGGCAGGGGCCGCGTGAACACAGGCCCCTGCTGTCGCAAATTATGAAATAGGGTCCAACACTTGGAAGTGCAATGGAAGTCACCATGCTAAGCCATGGGGCTTCTTGATCACCCATTGACTCAGTCCAGGTAAGAATGTTTCTCAACTTACTTTGTCCCTATTCATAATCCCCTTTGGTGTCCCAACTCTGCCATCTTCTTTGATGTGGGAATAAAACCACAGCTCTGAATGCACCCAAGTGGTCTCACCCTATAGTCTTTACCTCTCTTTTTGAAAGAGTTTGCAAGTTGTATTTCATGGGCGATGTTGCAGATTGTTTTTAGATTTATGAAACTTAGAATTTCTGAAGTGGATATTCAATCCAACTTGTACTTAATAACAAGGATGAGTCTACCGATTCGGTTCCATGTTGAAATTTCATCCCAATCATTAATTTTAGTTTGGATGATTTACAACTATTTATTAAAAAAATAATAGAATAAAAAAATTTGTTCCCGACAAGTTTTAATTGGATAAAAAATAAAGGTATGGTACCCAAAAAATATATTTTGGTACCAGAAGCTCACCTTGATAACAGTGGTGCATTTTGAAGAGCTTCTTTCCTCCAACATAATCATAGCAATTTGTGCATAACTATATCTTGGTTCTTTGCATTCGGTTGAATCCCTAAAAGAGTGGCATTTTAGCGTAAAATCAGTTGTTTAGTTATCACCAACAATGGAAACTCAATTTCCTCTTGGCTACATCTAACTCTCTCTCGAGTCATGAAAAGTTTTTGTGTCACCTCCATGTCCAATCAAGCTGACTATTCTCAAAGCCTGCCAATTAGTTGATTATAGATACATGGTTGATTTTCTGCAATAGATCGAGATAGTTGAACCACGGCGGATGTTGTCTGATTTACTCCTACAACAGAGAATTGTGTGTCCAGTGTATCTCCTCTAATGCCTAAGTCAATAAGTGCACCAAGGGGGAGGGATGAAGTCTTTTTTGTACTAGATTGCTCGTGAATGCGTACATGAGACCCAACTCATTAGGGTATTTATTCCTTATAATAGGGTGATGTAACAATATAGGCGTCCCATCCCACGCGGTCGAGGGAGCCTTCATAGTTGCAATCATTAGTGAGCTACACTCTTCTCGAACCCCATAACTACTAGGTTGTAGGAGGTCAACGTCAACTCGAGGTCAAATCCTGTAATGATTAGCCAGTTCGGGATGCCGAGCACTCATTGCACGTCCCCCAACATTTAATTATCTTTACAAGTCATTTATTGAGTTGTGCCGAGTACTTATCACGGTCCTCCAAATCATTAAATGTACTCTCCAGAGAAAGATCAACGTCAGTCAAAACCATACTGTTATCCGGATCTCCTAGGATAGTGGTGTAGTCTTATTTGACCGACTGATTTCTCTGTGGCCTATCACTGGTGGGCCCTGGTGTTAAATGCTCAGTCCTATGAATCTCTTTTTACCTTTCCCATGATAAGCAATATCTTCTCGGATCCTGGCCTTGGGAGCGATTCACTTTCTCGGTGCTCCAATGTTTGCGTCCACCTGTCATGCTCTAATACGAAAGTGACTTCATGTCCCGTCAATAGACATATTTTAGTTTATGGTCATAGATATGTCAAATGGCCGCGAACCCTAAAATCTTATCACGGCAAGGGATGAACAAAAATCCATGACTTGAATCCTTTATGTTTTCCATCCGCTCATGAGGAATTGCCAATATAGTTGCTCTACAAAGTGTTCGTGATGAACCATAAAGCTATCATGAGTTTTGGTCGATTTTATTCCAAGTACAACAGAAAATCTTCCACCATTAAGAGTGCAAAACAAGGTCAAGAATTAAACGAAATGAGTTTGTTTGAGTAATTAAGGAGTTGCCTACCTTTAGGCATAACTTTGAGTTCGAATCTCACCAACTAAATAGCAATCCCCTTCCATTATACTTTCGAGTTCATCAAATCTGTCATCATACATAAATAAAATTAATGTCAAGAAGTTACACACTCTATTTGCCAAAAAAAAAAAATTGCAAACTCAAGTCAACAAACGAATATGCAAGAATAAGAATTTAAAATTTACGTAGTGACTAAAAATTTTATATAATTTGAAATTTCAAGATGACTTGTTCATTACCATGAAAAACATTAGCTGATAATTGACATACGAGTACGAAACTAAGTTCCGTTTCGAAATATTCAAAACCTTATCATTTCCATTAGAACCGAAGTGATTGAATATGTAAATTTCTATATTTCAAGGTGTTTCAACATAGATTAATATGTTTTGAAAAAAAATATTCACACTTTTTTATTTGTTTTCAAATTATTTTAAAAACTTTTCTATTTTTAATTTCATCGAAACTATCTGTCAAAACGAAATTTCAATCATGGAGGGATTCTCATTTCAAATGGCTTCAGAAATCTACTTAAGAAATTAAAGTTATCCTATGTCCAAATTGTGTGAATGAACTCCACTCAAGTACAACATAAAACTTCAACACAAATGTAAAATTATTGAACCCCGACTGCAGGAGGCCTAAAAAAAACAACCCATTCTCATGGGTCTAATAGTAGTTCTTGATCTTAATTGACAACCAAGAAAGCTTAGGTGCAAACTATCAAATCAAGTTCTTCCTTGCAATTAGAATGTTTAGAGAATTGCTACAGCCTATAATAGTGATTTTAACTCATTGCGAGCGCTCAACTAAAAAGGCTATTACCCAATTTAATTTCCGTTAGTACATTGTAAAACTTGGACATTATTACACAAAATAACTACTATTAGATTCAAACGCACAACCTCATAATTGTCGACCAACTACTATCCTAAACATGGGCTCATGCTCAATTTTATGCAACATATGTGCATAATTAGATGTTAATAGTACATATCATCTATATTTCCAGATAAGCATACGACCTTGAGAAAAACATATGAAGAAGCTGTCAAAAATTGAAAATCCGATTTAGCCTTTTTCTATCAACAAGATTTTCCAGAAAACATGGACTTGGGCTTTCCTACATAGGAGTTTTTAACTAGCCAGTCTGTTTGTGGTGCTAGTAAATGTTATATTTCACCCACGTTTTCAAAGCAACCTCAAGAAAAAATGGATGAAGAAGCTGTCAAATTCGAAAACTAATTTAAAACATTTTTCTATCAACAAGATTTTCCAAATGAGACATAGTCAGAACCTCTAATCCTGAGGCTTAGTCACAACTGCAGAAAAAATAACTCCAATATGCAAAGGTCTGATGATATCCACTCTCATGTATCGTTACGTGTGTTTCGCTTGATCCGCCGTCCTAGAAAGACAAAAGAATGGTAAGAAAGCAAATGAGGTAGTTGATTGATAGAGTTTGAAATGGCGTTGTTCAGATTGACAATAAAAGAGTTCTGAAGACTTGGTAAGTTTAATTACCCTGCATGTATACTGATTTTGATCACAATTAGACTGATTCAACATCTGAACATGTTATGACTCTTGAACAATATATACAACGTTAACATGCTTAGATTTTCCACAGTTAACAAGATTAATCCTCTTGTTCCAAATCGATTGCCTAAATAATCGAAGCAATATGAAGACAACGGTAGCTGAAATTCTTGCATATGTCGCCTTTTGGGCTATGGTTTCCTTTCTTGCATATACCTCTGATCCCAGTCCTCTTCAGGACTTCTGTGTTGCTGTCAATGATTCCAAAGCTGCTGGTACATCACATTCTTTTCAATTAAGAGCCTTAATAGAAATATTTTTATCAATCTAAACTTCCTTTTTATCATCTGCTAATGCTTGCTAATTTTACGGTTTCTGTTCAGTGTTTGTGAATGGAAAATTCTGCTAGGACCCAAAGATGGCCACGGCTAATGATTTTTTTCTTCCCTGGACTCAACATATCTAGTAACACATCTAATAAACTCGGGTCCATGGTCACGCCAGTAATAGTTGCTCAAATTGGTGGACTAAACACCCTTGGCATTTCGATGGCATACCTTGATTTTGCACCATATGGCCTCAATCCTCCTCACACACACCCTTGCGGTACCGAGATCCTCACTGTCATGGAAGGCGCGCTCTATGTGGGATTTGTTACTTCCAACCCCAACAATCGTCTCACAAGCAAGGTCCTATGCCAAGGAGATGTGTTTGTGTTCCCTATTGGTCTGATTCATTTCCAGCTAAATGTTGGAAACACACCAGCAGTGGCAATTGGCGGGCTGAGCAATCAAAATCCCGGAGTAATCACCATTGCAAATGCAGTGTTCAAGTCGAAGCCACCTATCTCTGTTGATGTTCTCACCGAGGCCTTCCAAGTTGACAAAAATGTGGTTAACTATCTTCAAGTTCAGTTATGGATTGATAACAATGGCCACCAAAAACACATTTGCATGATTGATATTTCGAAGTTTATTTATTGTTTGAATAAAGAAGTGCACATTTTGCACACCATAAAATAAAATGAAACTATTTTTATGACATACCGAATCTCTCTCTCTCTGAGCGTATTTTTCAAGACCATGGAATGCGTTTCAATGGTAATGCATAACATATCACAAACATTTTTCATTCCCAAATCTCTGCAATGTTCAATCAAAAGCAACCAGAAAGTGTAATTGGTTTAATAAAAAGTCAAGTAAATTCCCTTTAAACCTACTAATAGCTTCACATGCTTTGACTATGCAAGCATATTAATACGAATAATGCTATACTTCCTAAATTATATCCCAAAAACAATCATCCCAAATGATTTGGCACCATCACACACCACATACTGGGCCCCTAAATCAGCAGTTTCATAAAGTGTGTGGTATGTGAAGATGCCAACTCAATTGTGATGAGTTTTCTGGAATATAAGGAAGCATAGTATTACTCTATTAACATATTTCTTTAAAAAAAAGGCTTAACCAATTGGCCCAAAGGTACCTCAAAGATTTGGCCACACAGAAAATAAACAAATCATCATCTAAATTGGGTAGGGGCCGCGCGAACGCTAGCCCCCATTGCCACAAATTATGACGTATAGGCTCCACCACTTGAGTAGACATTAGGCAGACACCCCTCCCAAGTGCAATGTAAGTCACCAACCTAGGCCACGGGCCTTCTTGATCACTCATTGACCCCATCCATGTAAGTATATTTTGTATCTTCTTACTTTGTCTCTCTTCATAATCCCCTCTGGTTTTCAACTCTACCATCTTCTTTCGTTATGGCAATAAAATCACAGCTCCGAGTGCACCCACTTGGCTAACTGGCCTCACCCACTAGTTCGTACCACTTTTTGTAAAAGAGTTTGCAAGTTGTTTTAGATTTATGATACTTAGAATTTCTGAAGTGGATATTCAATCCTACTTGTACTTAATAACAGGGATGAGACTACCGATTCGGTTCCATGCCGATGTAAAGGTTTGGTATCCAATAAATATATTTTGGTACCGACACCCGACCTTGATAACAGTGGTGTATTTTAAAGGGCATCTTTCCTCCGACGTAATCATGACAATTTGTGCATAACTATATTTTTTGATGAGACTTTTCTGAAATACTCTATGATGAAGACATGTGTCCTCGGTATTACCAAAAAACACTGTTGATAAGATCAAGCACCATCGGCGCATAAAGGTCCTCGCCCCCGAGGTACTCGTCATATAGGATCATGCATTCAGTATGTTCTACAACCGACACGTGGCCTCGGTCTGATATGGTACCTCGGTCGGTATCCCTCCCTCGGTTCCGAGATGAGCCTCTCCTCGGTGCCGAGGTGTACCCGTCCTAGACGCCTCCTCTACTCCAGGATAAGCTATTGACGTACAGGTCATTAGCCTAGGCTATTCATCATGACCTCGTCTTACACAATTAGTGTCAGAACGTACTGGAATGCAGGGGCCACAGCCAATGAGGGATGGACGCGTGGCATATGATATCACATCGAAGACAGAGAAACCGCATGTCGTTGCTGACACACGACTTGGGAAAGCAAACTATTAATTACACCATTCCCTTGATGAGACCGCATTCAATGCGGTAAGGTTCAGAAATGAAAGGCAATAAATGCTCCTAATACAAAGCATTTATTGCATCCTCCCCGAGAGGAGTACATTGTACCGTCGGCATCCCGATGACCCAGCATTGATTGCTCGGGACCCCGAGCAGTTAAGAAGAGAAGACATTCCTCATCAGAATCTGTGCGCACACTGCCTGTACTTAATGATCACCTACTGACTACACTGACAGCAATCATGAGCTTTTGAGATATAAATACTCCTTGCAAAAGGCAAGACGGGTATGCAACAAAAAACTCTTTACTACAATACACACTCAGCATTTTCTCCTTCCTCTCTCTTTCTCAAAGACTGATTAGATCGTCGGAGGGGATACGCCGGAAAACACTCCGGCGCCCTTTTAACTTGTTCTTCTTTGTTCCAGGAACCTCTTTCAGCCTTACTGGATCGTTCTTCCGCTCCCCCAGGGTCTCCCGTTGCCGTTCCAGGTTACCACCGGACCTCGCAGGCTATTCCAAGCAACGTGGTTGGTCACTCAACTGGCTCACTCGAGTTCACCAAGGGAGAGATCTGTTCTCGTTTTTATATTGTGCAGGATCTTGCACGCACATCTTTCTTCTTCGCATTTCGTTGAATCCCTAAAACAGTAGCATTTTAGCGTAAAATCAGTTGTTTAGTTACCACCATCAATGAGAATTCGATTTCCACTCGGCTGCATCAAACTCTCTCTCGAGCCATGGAAAGTTTTTTTATTTTATTTTTGTGTCACCTCCATGTTCAATAAGTCTGACAATTCTCAAAACTTGTCAATTAGTTGATCATAGACATATTTTATTTTATAGTTACAGACATATCAAGTTATGGTCATGGACTCCCAACTATTATCACGGCGAGGGATGAATAAAAGTCCATAACTCAGATTTTGTATGTTTTCCATCCACTCATGAGGAATTGCCAATATAGTTGCTCTACAAAGTGTTGTTGATGAACCATATAGCTATCATGAGTGTTAGTTGATTTTATTCCAATTATAACGACAAATCTTCCACCATTAAGAGTGCAAAACAAAGCCAAACATTGAGCGAAATGAGTTTGTTTGAGTGATTAAAGAGCTGTCTACCTTTAGGCATAACTTGAGTTTTAGTCTCACCAACTATATAGAAATTCCCTTCCACTATACTCTCAAGAGTAGATCAAATCTATCATCATACATAAATAATATTAGGATCTTTCTATGGTACCGACTTTTACCTTTTCGGTATGATACCAAAAAATAAATATCCATCATTGATCCATAATCAAGGAGATACAATCGTTGATTATATTTAAAATACTATTTAACCTTTTACCGGCTACCCACTCGATAGGTTTGAGGCTTGACAAATTCATAGATAAATTCAGACAAGGACGAAGAAGACGGGGAAATAAGAAGATAGAGTTGCAAAAAAAAATTTAACCCTATGAATCATTTAAAAGATTATAAATTAATTAGTAGGTTGAGATTATATTAGTCTTATATTTAATAAAAAAATACACTTAAAACTTTTTAAAATAAGATTATCATGTTTTTGGACAACGTTACAATAGATTGGGTAAGAATACAACGCATTGAGAGTAAAATTACCAATTTTGGGTAAGAATATTACTTTTTTTTTTTGGTAAAAATACCACTTTTTTTGGGTAATATTACCACTTCTTTTGGTAAGATTACCATTTTTTAAAGCTAAGGTTATCACTTTTGGGGTAAGGTTACTGATGGGGTAAAAATACAACCAGATTACAACTCTTTGAGTAATAATACCACTTTTGGGGGCAAGGTTACCATTTTTTTAATAAAATTACCACCGTTAAAATTGGTGAGGCTACCAATTTTTGGCCCAAGTTTACCACTGATTGGGTAAGAACACAACTTTTGGGGTAAGAATACTATTTTTCAGGTAAGTTTACCATCTTTTTGGTAAAATTAACACTGGATAAAATTACCACTTATTTTGGATAAGATTTAACATTTTTTTTTTGTAAATTTAACACTTTTTTATTTTCTTAAAATCATGGCTGGTCTTAGACCAAGCTTACCAATCTTAAATAAGGACTGATCATGTTTAGTGATCAAGTTTATCGATCACGCATACAACTAAATCAAGACTAGTCTTGTTATGTTTAAGGATCAAGCTTATCGATCCAACTAAAAGCAAGATCTTTCATCACATTACCCAAATACCGAATTTAAGAACCCAAACTTGAAATCGAATTAAAAATCAATTTTTTGGTAATTATCATCTACTATCAAAACTCAAATAATTTTTGTACGCACAATTCAATTAAAATTCGAACCAATTAAATTTTTTTTATATATTAAAATTCAAACTGATTAAAATTTGTTTTTCTACAAATATTTGAGACGATTGAGCTAATTAAAATTTATTTTTTATGTATTAAAATTTGAATTGATTAAAAATTATATCTTTATACATATTAAAATTCGATTCAATTTGATTAAAATGTTAAATCGGCTCGAATCAAATGACATTGAATTTTAATTGACTCAAATTTTGATACATAAAAAATATAAATTTTAATTGACTCAAATTTTAATACTTAAAAAAAATTAATCAGCTAGAACCAAATTTTAATTAGCATGAGTTTTAATAAAAAATATAAATTTTAATCGGCGCTAACAGTTCAGGTTGAGCTCAAATCGGTATAAATTTTAATATGTAAAAAAATAAATTTTAATTGGCTCGAATTTTAATATAATTTTATGTAAAAAGATTATTTAAGATTTATGTATGAGCAATTTTGATATTTTAGATTTTTTTTTTTGCTAGAAATGGTGATTTAATGGCGTTGTGTCAATAATGTTTAAATATAAACTAGAAGAGAGTGTTAATGATGTTTTGGATAATAGATAAGGTGTCCTTGAAGATATAATAAATTAGAAGATATGTGGTTGAAATTTTCCTAAAATAAATCACTACAATTGATCCAGGATCGATCTTACGTTGAATCAAGATTGTTCCTACTTAGTTATGATCGGCCTTACAACTTTTTAGGGGGTAAGTTACAACTATTTGGGAGGTAAGTTATCACTTTTTGAGGGTAAATACTATTTTTTGAGAATAAGTTACCACTTTTTTGGGATTAGTTACCACTTTTTAAAGGTAAGTCACTTCTCTAGGTAAGTTATCATTTTTCGGGATAAGTTATCACTTTTGTGGGGTAAAAACATCTCTAACCATGACTCAAATTTTTATTCAAATGTAAATTAAAATTGGAGTAAAAAACTTGATTTGATATGAAGAACTCCAATGGACAAACTCAAATTTAAAGAAGAAGATACCCAAATTTAAATAAAGGTAAACCCAAATTTAAAAAGGAGTGAGGATAATCATTAGATCTTTAAAAAATTGTAAAATCTCATCATTAAAAATTTAAGTAAAAAATTGAGTCCCTTTTGATTTGAGTAAAAATATGAGTTTCCCTTGATTTAGTGTAAGTTTGAGTCAAGAATTGGAGCAAGTTTTTTAGACTTTTTTACTCAAATTTAATTTTAAGTCTAAATTTGAGTAAGGATTGGAGATGCCCTAAGGTACCACTTTTGGAGGTAAACTACCACTTTTATAGAGTAAGGTAGCACTTCTAAGAGCATATCCAATTCTTATTCAAATTTAGACTCAAATTTAAATTTTAATAAAAAAGTTTAAAAAACTTACTCTAACTCTTGACTCAAATTTATAGCAAAAAAAAAAAAAAACTCATTTTTTACTCAAATTAAGGGAGACTTAAATCTTTACTCAAATCTTTAATTGTGAGATTTTATTATCTTTTAAAGATCAAATGGTAATCCTTACTCCTTTTTAAATTTGGGTTTGCCTTATTTAAATTTGGGTCTCTTTTTCTTTAAATATGAGTTTGTCCATCGGAGTCTTTTATATCAAATTAAGTTTTTTACTCAAATATTAATTTAAATTTGAGTAAAAATTTAAGTCATGGTTAGAGATGCTCTAAAGGGATAAGTTACCCCTTTTTTTGGATAAGTTAAAACTGTTCAAAGATAAGTTAGCACATTAAAAAGTAACATAATTAAAAAATAGTGTGGCATTAAAGAGTGATATAATTTTAAAAATAATGTAACATCAAATTGTGACATAATTTTAAAAATTGTCAATCATAATAAAAAAGTGACACAATTTTAAAATTAGTATGACATCAAATAGAGAATTCACACATTAATCCATAATTATACAATAAGTAAAATAAGATGATATAAAAAAGTGGATCCACAAAACACGCTCAAAATAAAAATAAAAAATCATACTCACTACATGTTGATGACAAAGCACTAAAATGCCGTTGGTACCTTCGAACCCATTTCCATACAAAATATTAAAGATAATAACTTATTAATCAATCCTACGAGGATCAATTCCTCAACAAAACCCACCAAAATTTTTAAGAGGTGGTTCCGTTGTTGAAATTGATATTTGATAATTTAAAAGTTTCAGGTTTAATTTTTTTTAACATTTCTTAAGGATTAGTCACTCTTATCCCTTTAGGGATATGCTTTAAAGTTAGCTAAAGTTATAGTGGCTAACCACTGAGTTCGAGGGAGTAGTTGACGCAAGCCTAAACACCCTGTAGACCAAAAAAAAAAAAAACACCAAAATAGGTATGATAAACTGCAAAATCAAACCAAACTAAGAAAACACTATAAAATCATCCCAGCTTAAAAATAAAATAAAATATAAACACTAAAAGTCTAAATGTCTCAAAAAAATGTATTAAAGACAAATTTTGTTATGTATAATTTGAATTTTTTTTTTTTGATGATAAGCTTGATTATTGATCTTTCTAATAAAAATGTTGTTTGGCAATAATCTAAAATTTTTTAGATTTTTTTTTTAATTTTTTTGATTTGTAAATTTCTTAGAATAACGTATTTGAACACCAGGGCAAGCCCATTTAGTAAAAATTCTGTTTTGATATGGAAAAGAAGTGAAAATTGAAGTTGAGTTCTCCTTAATGGATTTATAACGACTCAAGTCTGTCAAACAAATTTATTTGGTGATAAGTCCATTTTTTATCATACTAATAAGTATTCAAGTTCACTATTTTTTTAATTTCAAAAATAACTTTAATAGTGTTATTCTGTTTAATTATAGACACCTTAAATACCTTGAAATAACTTTAAATTAATTTCTTAAATTAGAAATTATTATCCCTTAATTCACTCCTAAATTAAAATTTATATTTATATTCTCTTCCCCTCTCTTTTTCTCTTGTTAGAAGAAGATCATCATTCCAATACAACAAATTTTTCTCTTTAAATATAATTTCTTCCTCCATAGCATCAAAATTAGTAGGGTTTGAAACATCATTAACAACTACCATATCTTTTACTGTACTCTAGTCATCACGAATTTCTATGTCATTTATTTTTAGAAAAAAATGTTGAAAAACTTGCTCAATGTGTTATTAGTTTGATCCCCAATTTTATTTTTATTTTTTGATAAATAATTTTCAAATTTTTTTAATGTTTCATGTAATTACATTTTTTGTTGACCATGTTATTATTTTTTGAGCATGTTATTATTTTTTCAGTTACTTTTTTGGATGCTAAAGAATTGGAGACTTTTTCCCATGATTATAGGTTTGAATGCTACTATTTTTGTTTTCAATTTTGTTTAATGTTCTATATTCCTATTTTTTTTTGTTAAATATGTTACTGTTTTTGTTAAACATATTACTATTTTTGTTGAACATTTTACTATTGTTATTTTTTGAAAAATATTAATATTAAATGTTATTATTTTTTTATGTTTAAATGTTATTATTTTTTTGTGTTTAAATAGTATTATTTTTTGTATTTAAATAATAACTTTTTTTTGTAATTGAATGTTACTATTTCTATATATATATATATATATATATATATATATATATATATATATATATATATATATATATATATATATAGTCCTAATTTACATATGAATATAGATAAATATGAGAGAAAAAAAAAATTAATGTTACTCAAACTCATAAAATTTAAGAGTTTTTAATTTTTAGTTTTACCTCATTTTTAAAAGTAATGGATAATCTGATAAAATTAACAAAAAATAAATTTCATAACAAATAAGTTTATTTGATGGACTTAAGTTCGAACGACTCACAAACTTTCCCAGCAAAGAAACATTTACATGATGCACTTGACAACCCATTGGGCTACAAGGCCCATTAAACTTGGCAAAATGGGCTCTGCTCTCTGCACTCGACGGCCATATTGCTTGTGCACAAAGTTTTCTTCAATAAACCTGGTGTCTGTCTGTCTCACGGTGAATCGAAGAAGAAGAAGAAGAAGAAGAAGAAGAGAGAGAATGGAATCCCCAAAGACAATAGAGCACGAAATCGGAGGGGTGAAAAATGATGCACTTCGATTTGGACTTCATGGCGTAAAGAGCGACATCGTTGGATCTCATCCCCTCGAATCTGAATATCAATCGGTACTCTCTCTCTCTCTCTCTGAACCCCAATTTCTCTATAATCATATATGGCTATGGATGCGTATGTGCAAAGTGTGTATGTCTACGTTTATATATTGTTTGATCAGACAAGGATGAGGCAAGAGGATATGAAGAGGAAGATCCTTGTGAACACTTACGGCTCGGCTTTTCCTTTGAGGATGGAGCTCGATCGCCAAATTCTTTCCAGGTATTACGAATTTTGAAGTTTTTATGTCGATATATGATCTCTATTTCAATTGTTCTGTTGTATGGTGAGCCTCTTATCTTGTTGAAATTAGGTTTTGGCTTCGAAGTACGGCCTTTTTTTTTAATGTTTGGGTTTTTCGCTGTCTGTGAGCTGATGATTTGCTAAGTTATTTACACGTGAAAGCTTGACTTTATTATTAATGCTGTTTGGTTGACGTGAAAGTGATGAAGAAAAATAGTGGAAGCATAAAAGCACAAATTTACATATTTATGTTCATTGTGAGATTGAATTGAAGGAAAATCATACACCCCCGGTCGTCAGCTTATTTCACTTAATGGGAATGTATCCAGTTCCTTTTCTTTATGTAAGATTGTTTCATCTATTTTCCCCTTTAATTTCAAGTATTCTGTTTTCGTGCCTATATTTCCTATTTGAATGAAGAAATAAAAGTGTCTATCTGAGCATTGTATAAGTTGTTATCCGTGTATCTTACATTGGGTGCCATTTCTTTTGTCTACTAAGGCTACTTTGATTTATGCAATTGAACGTAGCAAATAAGGTGTGGGGTTAATTAATTTTGATTGGTACATTAAGGACTCCAAATAACTGGGGCTAAGTACTGGTAAGATTAAAGTTAGTAGGTTTTGGCACCTTAATGGGTATTTGGGGTGCTAAGTATGTTCAAAGTGGACGATTGTGCGTTGCCTATGGTCTAATTTTTAGTATTGAATTGGATTGGAAGTTGGAATTAGCTACCCTAAGCATGCTGTCTTAATTGGGAGTATTTTCTATGGCTCTTGTTTGGATTATTAGTGTTTGGCCCTCGCTGCTTTGAGTGTTTGTAGGAGCACTTATATCTTTCCTTGTGTATAATGCCACAGCAGAATCAGTTTTTGTTGGATGTCATCTCTTGTTTAGGCGAAGTAGGATGCATTGGCCAGTGACTAATACATCACATATTTTAGGCGCTGCGGTGTAGTTTTTGTACACATTTAAGGTGTTCTGGTTAATTTATCTATTTCTATACATTTTTGTGCAAAATTTCGTCATCAAAACATGGATTATGTGAAAAAATATGCTGGTGCAATTTGGAGCTATTTAAAATAGTTCTTCCAGCATTACTGAGTATAAATATAAAGTTAATTATGAGTGCCATACTGGAAACATGGTAAAATTCAAATATTTAACAGTGTGAAACTTGCCGATGCTGATGTTAAACTAACTCGCTGTTTTGTGCAGCATGTTATGCTTATTGATGTCCACGGTTAGGGCACCGTCCATGCCACTGGCATGTGTTTGGAATGTCACGCTCCATGCTTGAGATAGTTTTTTGTGGGTTGTGTTATTCCTGGCTGGGATCAAGTATGTGTTGTTTAGGATACATCGTTGGATTGATGTTTTAGAATGGAGACACTGTCCATTTCTGGTGCTCCTGTAGAAGAGTTTTTTGTTTGTAGGATATTGTGTATTGTTTGCATTCATGTAGTTTAAATGGATTTTATAAATGCTGTGTATCTTCAGTTTTTATGTGCTCGGGGCTTTCAAGGCTTGTTTTGGTATTGTTTTCGAAAAAGAAGTGACTCATTTCCTTGTCAATCATTCTACCAACTACAATTGATTTTGATGAAATGTGAAAATTGCTGTTTTTTTATTGGAAGATTCGATCAACTTCAGTTCTTGAATATGTAGAAAGTCTTTAACCAGTCTGCTGAGAACAGAACTTATTATAAAGCAACTTTGGCAAATGTTTAATGCAAAAATGTGTAGCATTCTTCTCTTTTATGACTAAATGAACGAATCCATTGATATACCATGGAGATTATCATCGGCGAATGTATCCTGATCAGATCAATGTGCAGCAAGTTTTGAAGATTGTCAAATATTAATATATATGTTTGTTTTTTCTGTTACATGTGTGCATCTTACAGTGTTCAAAACCTTTGTCTTGCTTGGTTTTGCATGAAGCAGATATGAAAGCTATATTTGCTTTGCATCCTCCTCCCTCCCTCCCCCTTCTTAAAATTTGCAGATTTCAGAGGCCTGTAGGAGGGATACCATCTTCCATGCTGGGATTGGAGGCAATGACAGGAGCTTTGGAGGACTTTGGTTTTGAAGATTACCTTAATGGTAAGAATATATCCAGTAAAACCAACAGTTGAGTTTACATTTATGAATTAAATAAATGATTGGTCCGATTCTGCTCCATGTGGTTTTTCCTTTAACAAAGTTTAGCACTCATCTGCTTCCCACTCTCTATTCACTAGAGATTTGAAGTCATTGTGCATAAGCTTTGACAAATATCTAAGTAAAATGGTTGCCAAAAGAGAGTTTTTTTTTTTTTTTATTGAATAGCCAAAAGATGTGGATGGCCATAATTCTATTATTTAAACTACTGTTCGGTGTTGGATGGGATGTTAGATGGTCAGCCATTTATTTACATTTTTCTCCTCCTTGGTTGCAAAACAAAAAAAAAAAACTAGGGACAAGAATTTGAGTTGAGATTTGTTCGTCTTTAGCTTAGATTAATTCTTGGGGGTTTCATCATCATAGTTGTAAGCATCATTTTTTGAAGTCGGACTAGTTTATTACCCATTCATGAATAACAACCAAATTTAGCTAACAGTAACTGTTAAAGTTTTGTTTTTGGTCATTGTAACTGTTAAAGTTTAATTTGATCGTTTCGACATTTTCATGGAAGTGATTGTATGTACATAGAGATACACAGTTTGACTTGGTGAATTATAGAGTTACCATCACAAACAACTTTATAGAGTGGGACCTAACTGTGGTCATTCTCTCTTGTTGCTTCTTACAGATCCACGTGACTCTGAAACCTTCCGCCCAGATGACCTGCATCATGGAATGGAAGTTCGTCTTGGGCTGTCCAAGGGACCGATCTGTCCCAGTTTCATATGAAGTGTCCATCCTGATAAAGGAATTCAAGTCGCTTTTTCTTATGCTGCTACAATGATCTTTGTTTTCCTTCAAATGTATTGTTGTTGAATTGGGATGCTTAAGACTTACGAAGATGAAAATTGCTGCTAAGGATGTATTGGATTACTTATCTCTGTTAGTGATTTTGTTTTGATCCTTAATCAATGCAGCAAAGGCCCTTGAAATTTATCTCCTAGTTGTTATGGTCTGCTAATTAATTGGCTTGATCCCATAAAATAATCCTGAAATCACTTTCTTTAGGATGTTTTGCTGTGTTTTGCAGTGCTTGTTCAGGTGCCCGGTGTTTTTCTTATATATGTAGTTTTTAGAATGGGATTTTTTGTGATATCAAATCGATACTGACAATTCAAATAGTCAAGTAACGATTCATAAAGAGCAAGTTATTATAACGGGGTTGAGTTAGGATCGATCTAAAAAATTACTTACAATTAAAATATGGTAAGTTTTTGCAAAAATAGATCTTGTTAATCGTGGGTTAAGCTTTTTTGATCTATATCTCAACCTGGTGATCAAACAGCCAGTCCAGGAAAGTTTTATTGAATTTCAACTCAGCTACATCTCTTCTTTCATGTCTCGGGTATGGAAAAAAATTCCCATGTACAAGTACACACCCTGTTTGGTAACAATTGAATTCCAAACGGATACAACTCTCAGTTACAGTAGAAGTTCAAATAGACAAAACTCATGCCTACTCTATTGATCCTCTGAGAACATCACTTTTGCCATTCATAGGAGAGATGACCGCCAGAATAACAAAACCACCCAGAACAATAATCAAGACACCCAAAGAGTTCACTAACAAAGCTTCGGTAGAATAACGTGATATTATCTGGTGGGTTTGAAGAAATGTGGCTTTCTCTAAAATACCTGTGGTGCAGGTAGCGAGAGCAAGAGCATAAACGTACACCCCAAAGAATACATGCCATGGCAACAAGGTAGCTCTGTTGTTCCTTGAACCACCAGGATACCAAAAGGTTGCAAATCCAGCAGCCCACTGTGGAGGAGGAATTATAGCCAAAAATGAAATGATGTGATATGGAAGCTACTTATTCTTCCAATGTGTGTGTGTGAGAGAGAGAGAGAGCGCGTGTGTGATACATAATATATACTGGAAAGAGAAAGGAGGGGGCAGGGAGGTTAAGAAGAAGACCTGGATGCCAAATAAAAAAAGGCAAGCAAGGCCCAACCATGAATGCAGGCTGTAAAAGTGATCAATGCCCCTATCACTGTGAAACTTCCAAGCAGCCCATAGACCGATTATGCTCAAGAAGAAAGCCAGGAATTGCAATGAAAGATGAATCAGCTTTCTGAAGCTTTTTGTTCTGGATACTGTTTTGTATGCCAGCATGGCTGCATCAACCCGTACAGACCAATTAAAACAAAAAATACTGAAAGCAACAGTAAGCAGGGAAAATGACATCATTTGGAAAGAAATAACTTCAATCAAACACATAACAATTAGTTATAATCTGTTTACTCTGGACAAAGTATGAAAGTTTTCTACACATTCACTACAAGACCTCACCCAAGGTATATAAGGCAGGAAGCAACCCAACAGAACAAAAAGTACACAGAAAAAAAAAAAGAAAAAGATTTACACTGTTCTCCAAACTATTAAGAAAGACAAATTCAATTTATGTCTAAAATGACCGTAGTATATCTATATAATATTCTTGAGTTCGCATTGATCTCGGGGCCATTAGAAAAGTTCTTTTATTATTATAACAAAGCGATATTCAACAAATTTTGAAGGAAAGGGAAAAAACAATTAGATATAGGGGAATAGCATAGTATGCGAAGAATTAAGAACATGCAAATCTAATTTAAAAGGTTTAACACAGCGCTAACTATATTCGTATCATTTCAAAAGACCAAAATGGCTTCATCAATTGAAAAATATCTGTACAAAACATGATTTACTACATGAAATGTATCATATGAATTACATTTAGGACCCATCTGATATCAATTGAAACCAAATCCAGCACCACCTATCACTGAATATAAGGGAGAGCACCAATTTGTCTGCACTTGGTCGCTTCCTTTCTCAACTGCCCACTAAAATAATATTCCCATGGTGGCTCACAAAGTAATCAACAATAGGCTCTCATTGCCGTTTATATCTGCTAATGAGAGTTCACTCAAAAACCCATGTAAGAATAATGTTCCCGCTCATAAGGATCATACTGGATAAATACCCCTCATGCTTGAATGTCAAGAAGCACAATTTACACAATCCACCAGTGTCAAAAGACTTGTCCAATTTAAGTAATGATGCTGCAAGTTCTAGACACTCGTGCTTAACATTATGCAAAATCTTATATACAAATAGTTAGTCAACATATGCATTTTTAATTGCTACATCAATCATTAACTGTAGATTTCAGTACATTCTCCCTGAAGAAACATGGAATAAGGAATTATCACAACACCTTTTGGAAAGTCATGACGTCTAAGTTTTCCCTTAAAGGAAAACTAGGTAACTTGCTGTGTATAATGTATATGGAAACTGCAGAACAAACATTTTGAAAGAATATCCCTTGTTATTGAAATTTCCACGTGGATCCATCATAAAGGAGTACAGGGGAAATTTAGTTCAGTATCATGCAGGCAATTATAAATGGCAATATTATGTTGCGCATGTGCAACGATTCTACTACAATATATTCACATCAAATGAGATAGGCTTACTACAAAGATATCTGTTAATGAATAGATACATAGCGAGTCTAAGATTAAAAGCAAACAGATCTGACGGCTTCCATCATACTGTCTCACTATGATAAAAAAAAAAAAAATATATATATATATATATATATCATTCTGTCTCACCAAGTATAGCACACCCGAAAATAAAAAATCAGTCTCACCAAACTCACCTTCACCATTCAAAAGTACAAGGCCAGTAACCATTAAAACAGGATGGACCTGCAGAAGACACAAGATCAACAAGAAGATAAGCAAACAAAACAGAAGACACATGCTCTATCATCCTTGGAACATAGTCTAAATAATATAACAACTTCAATCTCCACCAAAAAACATAAATCTCAACTGGAAGCAGGATTTTATTTTTCCTTGTTGGATAGTGTGGGAAAATGTGAGTAAAGGCAAATTTGCAGAAAAAAGAGAAAATTCATAAACTTTGGAGAAACCCAAATTTTCTTGTAAAACATCAAGGAGACAGGAAAATTTTTACAAGAAAGGTCGATAATTTTCATGAAATTGATTTCGTTATTTATATATCTTACTTTGACGTCGCCTTTACCTCCCCATTAACCTCAACTAAACAAAACTATAAGCTCTTCCATGCCAGAAAAGTGCAACAACCACAGCTCCAGTAATAGATCAAGCGTATATATCAATGCCCCACATAAATAAAAATTGCCACATTGCTCAGTAATTCAATTCAACCAAGTTAATTCGGTGAGTTGGCAGACACAATTTGAATTCCACAAAACATCATCCATTTCATTTTCAGGATGGTGCAAAATATCAGTAGCATTTTAACATAAAGAGTCAAAGGTTGTACACACGGTCTCACATTAGAACATCAACTTACCTGACAACTAAACTACATATATATTTGGAATTTGGACAACAAAACAAAACAAAAAATAGCAGTGGAGGGGTTGAAGTTTTAGAAAAGTGAGATACATTGAAGATGCGGGTTTTTTCGTCGGAGATGAGAGCCAATCCTCCTCTGTAATGCATATTCCAAGTCAGTACCAGAGCTGCCACTGCGATGCCGATGATCCTTATCACGAAGAAGATCGGAAACTTGACCACTGGAACCGCCATTGCCACCACCTCCAGTTAAAGAAAGATACAGAGATTTAGAATTTAGAAAGAGAAAAAAATAGTCATCAATGTCGAATTTACGATGTTTATGACAATTAGAAAATCTATAATTTCTAGGGTTTTATATTCAGATTTCTTTGTTAAAATGTTCCCAGTCGGATCGGAGCGAGAATGTATTTTAGTGGACCGGATCACGTGGCACGGTGAGTGAATAAATTTGAACAATGGTAAATATAGGGATGTCAATAGACCAAAGCGTTGGCAGAGAATATAGTCTTCATACTCGTACTCTCTTAAAAAAAATTTATCCATGTCCGGTCCACTTCCATTAACGGATATAGTTTTCATCTCCATCCCCGTCCAGGAATAAATTTTTAATTCTCATCTCCGTCCCCATTTCCCCGTACCCGCTTAAGCTCAAGCCCAAACCAAAGCCTAAGCCCAAATAACATAATCCAAAATTCTAAATAAATCTAATATTTTAAATAATCCAATAACATTCTAAATAATCTAGATTGTAAAATGTAAAAGTCAAAACAATATAGTATTCTATTTAAGTGTCATTGGACCACAAAAAGAGAAACAGAACTATTAGAGAGAAAGGAAGAAAAGAAAAATAAAATTGAACTAAAAAAATGATAGTACTACACTTGAAGTTTTTTAGAAGAATTTTTATTATTACAATTCATATTACAGCTATAAAATATTAAAAGATGAAAACTTAAAATTTCTTTAATTCAATAATTCTCTCAATTTCTCAGTTCACTCCGAGAGAGAAACTCATTAATCTTCATTCACAATTTTTCTACACACGATGAAATGCAAAACTATCTTACTCTCTCTTATCTGTTTTTAGAGCATAGTCAATTCAAACTCCTAACAATTTTAATCAATGAGCACAAATAAAAAAAAGAATAATCAAGAAAAAAAATTGATAAGATTATCACATAACAATGTTACTTGTTAGTTTGATTACCATATTTCTAAATTGATAGTTATAGTAAATATGTTTAGTTAGAGTTTACGAGTGTATATATATATATAACGGGTACTGGGGGCGGAACGGGGATAAAAGTAAGTCTATCTTTGTACAGGTTTATACGAATATTTTCGTATACGTCTACCGTTCAATACGTATAGTCCATCTCTAGTCTAAATGAGGCGGGTTTGAACGAATACCCATTTTTTTCCAGTCCACTGTCATCCCTAGGTAAATCTCACAAATGTCTATTAAACGATGACATTTATTTAAATTGATTCCAAAATTTTTAATTGTCCTAATTTATTGATAAATTATATAATTTGCTTTAATCGATCCATTTTATTATTTAAATTTTATTAATATTAATTATTAATTTGTCTCATTTAACGCTTAATATTAACAAAAGAGGTTGATTGATATAAATTATATAATTTAGGTGGCAAATTAAAATAATTGAAAGGTTAATGGACAATTTATTTTAAAGCTAAGAGTTTAGTGTATTTGTAAAATTTATCACTTGTCCATTTGTACTATCAACTAGGTGTATCAGTCCTGCTAGAAAAGCGAGTTCGTATCGAGTTTTAACGGATTTATATTAAAAAATATTTTAATTATATTTAATTTATTTATTAATGCGCGTCAATCAAATCGTGTCATATTAAATTTGTATTATGTATCAACCACGTATAACGTTTCCTGTGTTGCCTCCGTAGAAAAAGACAGTCGACGAAGAGTTCTGTATCAGCGCAGAGGCAAGACGAATGACTAATGGTGGGCCCAAATTCCGTGTTTCTGATCTTCCTGCGTCGCTTTTGGCGGAAATTCATGTCAGACTGCCTGTAAAATCTCTGTTTAGGTTCATGTGTGTCTCTAAGAAATGACTCAGGAAGATCATTTGGTCTACTCTTCGAGATGGAGTGGTGGCTTATGATCCTTATTAGCAGTAACAATCAGTGGCGCCTGATAAAATTTCCAGAGGATAGGGACATCAACATTGATCAACTTGACAATGGACTTTATAGGATGTGGCAATGTTTTGCCAAGGATGCCTCAAATATTTTGAGGTTGCTGAGATCGAGTGTGACGCAGAAGAACTAAAACCACAAAAAACACTATAATTTCGAGTCAAAAATAACACTATGAATTAACAGATAAAATAGAGAGAAACTCTAAAATATAATATTATTTAATGATTAACTCGTAATACAAAAAAATGATATAAATAGGAATGGCCAAAATCCTAATTATTCTTAAAAGGGAAGCAAAATTCTTTAAATTATGAGAAATACAAAAAATAGAAAAATATGATTTTTCTAATTAAAATAAAAGCACGCGTCGTCTAGGATCTAACAGAACTCACAATGTTAAATTCAAAATCTCCAATGATTTGTTATTACTTTTCAAAATCTTTCGCATTTGTCCGATTTCAAGTAAGCTCCAACCTTTGCGTTTCTTTAGTTTCCTAGACCTCTTCGACATGTCATATATTTTTTATTTTGCCCTTTTTGGCGTCCAATTACTCTTTAATCCCAAATTTATATTGTAGAACGATTTTAGTTTTAAATTTCATATTCTGGGTGAATTTATAAGTATTTTAGTTACTGTAGCTTTGATCAATGTCTGTCTATGTTGATTTCTTATATGAGTAGCAAACAGCTAGGTTTCCTAAAGGGGGATTTCATCATTGGCAGTGCATTTGGATGTAGATGTAGAATCATTTTAGGCTATCCTAAAGGTCATTGCTTATTTGGCCTTATTGCAGGTTCATATTTTGTTATACTTAATAGATTAAATGTGAATTGCCAGTAATTTAATCATATTTCTTGGTTTTGCTTGAAAAAAATGAAAACAGTTACCAAACGCATTATTGGATTTTACAAAACATAAAAACAAACACATTTACAATCCAGGGCCTTAATCACAGTAATATGCTTTAGGAAAATGGAATCGTACGGTCATTGTCGTGTACATGTGTATAGAATCGATTGGGTTAATTGAAAACTTTTTAAATAAAATTACAAAAAATGCGCATATACAATTAAATTTTACTAAACCTAGGAGTATAATACAGTATTGATCACTCAAATGCTTGATTTATCTATCTTTGGTCTCTCAAGTTTTTTAGTTATATTACTTGATAAAGTTAATTGCATTGAAGGTCTCTAAAATATGGAGTTTGTCTTATTTTAATTTTCAATATTTCAATTGCATTATTTTAGTCTCTGAAATATTGAATATGTTTATATGTGGTCTCTCAAACAGACATCGTCCAGATTATCAATAATTTTTTATCATAAACTTGTAACTAAATACTTAAATTTGGGCAAAAAAATAATTTATATAACTTTTGATTAATTTTTACTCAAATTTTGATCAAAAAATTTACTCAAATTACACGGTTTCGATCATGAATTATTCAAATTTGGTCAAGGGCTATACATATTACATATTTTTTTGTCATGAGTTATCCAAATTTTGACCAGAAGTTACTCAAATTAATTTTTACCTATATTTAGGTATCACATGATAAATTTATGATTAAAAATCGTTATTAATTTAGACGATATTTGTTTGAGGGATCACATAAAAACGTATTCAATATTTTATGGATTAAAATGATGTAATTGAAATATTAGGAATTTTTTTTTGAAAGTAGAAATATTAGGGATTAAAGTGAGACAAACTCTATATTTTAGAGATCTCCAGTATAATTAACCCATTAATTTATGTCACTTTAATATTTTAAAATTTTAATCTGTATTACTACGCTCCAATGGAAAATTATGGTTTTAATTGACTAACCGACTAACAAAAATTGACACTTTAAACAAGTCACCTCCCTTGAGAGACATTTTGAGAATATTAGTGGAATTTTTTCCCTTTAATGAACCTAAATGTGTCCTATTTGGCGGCTTGACTAAGTTTCAACTAAAGTTTTTGCATTAATGAGATCTTTAGTGAAAAATATTTCACCATTAGCCAAATGACATGTAAATCATTCTCTCATGGTTATAACTGATTAAGTCTTTCTCCTGTTACAAGAGCTGGACATCAACCACGCAGCTAAACCTGTACCTTTTGGTACTTCTGATAAAGGTGTTGTCAATTATTTGGTAAAGGCCTACTCAAGCTTACCAATGCTTTAGAAATTCAATGTTTTTTTTTTTTATAAAAATGGAAAAAAAATATGAGAAAAATATTAAAAATTCAAAATTCATTTTAAGAAAATTCTTATTCCCGAAAAAAATTCTTCGCTATTATTACCGAATATTGTATTAAGATTTGATGGGATTACTATGCGTGCATAAATGTTCTAAGTAACGAAGATAAGTATATAAAATATTTTTATACTTTATATTTTTAAAAGGAATAATTGCAAGTTATACTCTGAAAGATAGTTTGAATCTTAATTTAGATCCTCAAAAATCAAAAATCTCAATTTAAGCCCTCAAAGATAGAAATTTATATCAATGTGCATCAACTTTGAGTGTGCACGTTGATACAAATTTCAATTTTTGAGGGTACAAATTAAAATTTTTGATTTTTGAGAGTGTAAATTAAAATTCGAACAATCATTCAGGGTATAATTTATAATTAACTATTTTTAAAAAGACTATTACACTGAAGTACTATTAATCTAACTGCAATAACTACTAATAATAGAAAATGTCATCAACTTAATGCTCCGTTTGGCAGGAAGGATGAAAAGTAGAAAGGATAAAAAGTAGGAAGAATACACTTTCTATTCTTCAAGGATGAAAAGTATGAATGATACAATTTATTTCCTTTGTGTTTGTTTGGATGGATGAAACATAAAAATGACTATTTTTTTTTGTTTTTGTTTTTGTGCTGACTAAGATTAGGGGTGATAATAGAGTTGAGTCGTGTCGTGTCGTGTTAGATTCGTGTTGAGTCATTATGAGTTTGTGTCAAATATTAGTCAAATTTAACTTAACTCATTTAACTAATTATATCGTGTTGAGTTGCGAATTGACTTATTTATTTTCGTATCGAGTTTAAGTCGTGTCATCGTGTTGAGTCGAAATTTTCACCTTAGTTAAGATGGAAAAAATATATATTTTTAATTTAAAATTTTTATTTTTTAAAAAATTAATTTTAAATTTTTTTTAAAATACATATACATATTTTATCATTTTATTTTTATATAAAATTAATGTATACATAAGATATATGGACAAATAAGATATATCTCAACACAAATAATTAACTTTTTATCCACTTTATTTATGATTTTGGAGGGATTATTTTTGGTGAGTTGGAAGGAAAGTTAATTTATCTACTTTTTCATCCTTCCTACTTTCTTTCCTTACTAAACATGATGTTTTATTTATCCTTTCAACTTTCTATCATTCGAACTTTTTATCATTTCACTTTTCTATCGTACCAAACGAAGCATAAGAGTCAAAATTACATTTCGGTATATTATTTCTATCATATCAGAAATCAAAAATTTTCAAAAATAAAATAAAAAAAAATTTATTACCAATATATTGGTCCAAAATTATAAAAATATCTTGAAAAATAACTCAAAATATTTTTGAAATAATGTTGAAAAGATGCCAAAAATATTTCGAAATACTTCAAAACATTCCAAAAATTCTTAAAGCATTGAAACTTTATTAAATTAATAATTTATTTTGTTCTTTTTAAGAATATAAATGTTTCGATCGTTTTAAAATAAAATTTTAGTTCTTGATCATAGTATAAATTTAATTCTTAATTTGTTTTGTCTGATATATATAAAATAAATAAATTTAGGAGAAAGAACAAAGAAGCACCCCCAATAATGATAGGAGCCTAAATCACATGGGACAAAAAAGTGAATGCATAGGAGAGAGATGCTTATCTTGCATTACACAACCATATGTACAGCGTGTCATTTCAATTCCGAATATTCTTCCTATCACTAGCAACATAATTACAGAAACAACCCCGGATACTCCCTCAGTTTACACCCTTTTCCACTGTACCAACAACCAACTTTTAAAAGCAGCCAACGCAAAATCACCCACGCTGGGGGCACTTTCGTCACTCAAAAGTACACTTCCGAAGCCCCACGTTCTACCGAAAGGCGGCCAGCGCCAAATACCCAAAACACCCTATGCTAACGGCTCTTAACACATCAAAACCAAGGGTAATATCGTCAAAGACAAAAGAAGAATTCTTATCGACCAGTAAAATAAAACGAAAGAACATGAGTGATCTGCGCACACCACGAAAGGTGGCTCTGAAAAAAGCGAAGAGAGAGAGAGAGAGAGAGAGTTCGTTTTGGAAACGTTACCGGATTTCACCGTTCCTATTCGCCGGGATTTGGGAATTCTGTTCACGTCCGGCTAGGGTTTCTCTTCCGTCTCTCGAATTCAATGACTTTTTTCTCGTTCGTAGTCTGAAATAGTGTCTAATATTTGAATTCTATATCTGCGACCTGTAAATTGGGGATTCTTGAAGGGCCTGTTTGGGAAAATTTTGTGATGTTTACGCCACAGAGGAAGGTGTGGTCGGGTTGGTCGCTAACACCGAGGAGTGAACCGGCGCAGAAGAACGGTTCTGGTTCTGATTTGAACCCTACTTCGAGCCCTAGGAATGGTGAGACTGTTTCAAAGGGTAAAGGTATCGCTTTTATGGGGTCCACACCACCACCGCCGGCGGGTTTGTTAGGGGATAACAGCGGAAATTTGGAGAACGAAGGAGTGGTAGAGAGGATTTCGAAGCTTGAAAACGAGGTTAGTGATAAACTTCAATTCGTATATCTAAGGACTGTTGTATTCGATGATAAAGATATTTGTTTTTGGCGACTTAACAGTTTCTTTCCTTTTTTTTTTTCCTTGTCTCGTGATCTTGATGTGTTTTGATGCTCTGAATTTTACTTATTTTAGGATAGGCGTAAATTAAAGCTTCACTTTTTCCAGGTTTGGGGAAGGTTTTTTCGGAATTTGTACATAAAATTAGGTTTTCAGTTTCAATTTAGAAAATTATGAGAGTCTGACAGGTGAACTATGTTTATGATGTGTCACCATCCTCGGTAAACTTGGGTATTCCACGTTGATTTACCAGCAGAAGGAATCTTCGAAAATCCAATGTGTGTAATATGGAAGTTTGATGGCTTAGTGGGGGTCTGAACATAGTGAAAGTAGAAAGTTTTTTGTTGCAAGTACCTTTCAACTTAGGAAAACTTAAACCGCTATATAGATATTAAGAGGGGTTGTACACTTAATTTGCAACCAATTCCATAACTTTGCAACGGCAAAGAATTTCAAATCTCAGGTGGCAAAAAATTGTAACGGTGGAAGAATGAGTAGGTCGGCATTAGAATACTACTATAAAGCATTCCAAGCTTGAAGCCTATCATGAGGGCTATCCTATGTCTGTTGTACAAATGGAGAGTTTAGCTTGCAGTCCTGATTTCTTTCTTACCTCAGACGTCAGATGTCTTCCATATTCAGTTTTCCTGTTAATACCCTGATGATCTTTTTAGGTTCCTAGGAAACTGGATCCAGTCAGTCTGCATTGAGTTTCTGGTGAAATTACCTGTAGCCTTGCTGCCACAAAGATTCCTTTCCTTCACTAGAGGGTCCTATTGCTTTCCCTTTTGAGATATGTCCCAAGATGTATCTGAAATATTTTCATCCTTTTCCTTCAGATTGATAAATTTCCCGCAATTGTCCTTGCTTATTTGTTGAGATTTGAGATTGATGGGGGAAACCATTCTTAATGGGTTTCTTTTGAGGTTCATATTCATCATGTTATGCTTCCGGGGCTTTTTTTTCTGACTTTTGCCCTTGGGAAACTATGGGGCCTTTTCCCATTTTCAAACGTTGAAGAGGCATAGGTCTGAAGTTTTATGTTGAAGACTTTTGTTTCATTGGCATTTATTAGGCTGCAAAGGCTTTTCTAATTCGCTTACCAGATAACTAATAAAGAAAGAAGGAAACACTTTTTTTGGATTGAAGTATGGGTTTATTTGTTTCTATTTCTTATGTTGGGGGAGTACACAGAACTAGCAGTTGCTTCAAAAAGAACTTTAATAATTTGCCTGATCTTATTGTTCCTGTAAAAAATGAAAGGGATATAGTGGCCTTTTAGGAAGACTCAGAGATTATTGCCCCTGCGAGAATACGTTGGGTTCTCTGTTGAATGCCTTTTTTCTCGATTTAGTAGGATTTTATGTTGTTTTTGGACACATTGTTGCCAGTTTCTATTCTTTGAACAATATGGTTCCCTATCATGTTAACTAGTGAAGTTAACTGCATTGATTAATGATTTATTTTGCTCTCCTGCTGTTCAACTGCATGTTGCTTTCTACTTGTCAGTTCCGTCGTTTAATTTGTGAACTGAGTTATTTTTCTTGGATGTCATTGATGTGGAGGAGTTTACTAAAGCTATTTGTCAACATATATTGCATTCTTGATGTCATTTTACCTATCATCCCCTTTCTCCCTTGTCTCCTCATTGTGAATACTGTTAACCATGTGCTTTCGTGTCTTCGCGTTCTGTTTTTGGTGTTTCAGGTGTTTTCTTTTGCTTTGCTCTCTGTATTTACTGTTTTTTGGGCCACCATTTTCCCTCTTCTCCTCAGTTTTTTTCACTTTTTTTTTTGGGGTGGGGGGGGCTAAAATTGTATTTCTAGGATATGTTTTGTTTGCATTATATTGCAGGCTGTGGTTTTTATCTGACTGATTTGGTCTCCTCTGTAGCTTTTTGAATACCAATATAATATGGGCCTCCTCTTGATCGAGAAAAAGGAGTGGACTTCTAAGTATGAAGAACATAGGCAAGCATTGGGAGAAGCACAGGATGTCCTTAAACGTGAACAAGCAGCACATTTAATTGCATTTTCTGAAGCGGAGAAGCGAGAAGAGAATTTGAGGAAGGCATTGGGTGTTGAGAAGCAGTGTGTGCTCGATGTACGTTTTCTGCATCTTAATTTTTCTCCTGTATTCTTTTCAGTTTCAATTTGGAGTCAATGAAGTGCTTGAGCTAGTTTTGTGTAGTGATATCAACAGCTATTTATAGTTTTGTATTTGCGCTGTGTACAGGGTCATTTTGATGTTGGTAGATATCTATCTCTTTATTTATTAATGCTGCTTGCTGCCATGTTTGCTGCCAAATTCATTTTAGATTTTGAAGCTCTTAACTGATTTTTATTGGGAACAATGCCTGAAACAAGATGATATGCGTAACTGGTACTTGACATATTGTGAAGTGCGTTCAGCAGAGGAAAAGAAAACTAGAAGGAAGTATCAAACTGTGTCGAGTGAATATGTTATTATACTGACAAGCTGCATTATAATGAAATATTAATTGTAATTGGTTTTCATTGCCCTTAGGTCAATTTTGAACACGACTTTCATTGGTATACTTTCAGAGCTGGAAAATGTTCTTATCGTTTGGACACTGCATTGCTGAAGCCAATCGAGGATTTGATTACTGAAGATGTTTGATGTTGAAAACAGAGATTGTATTTGAGGATAGTAGTGAGTCCTATATAATAATAGGCTCATGGTCCAGTAGACCTATTGTGATTCCTAATACAACAGTGAAAATCGGGGCAAGCATCCTTATCATCCCATTGACCTCTTAAGGATTTCAATCTAGAAAAGAATTGATAGCTTGTACTTCCGTTGTGTCAATTATCATTTCAACAATGATTGCTCGGATGGGTCTGGAATAATTGATAATGAGATTTCTGCTTTAGTGAATTATGTGGATAATTGACCCGAAATACTGTCCTAGTTGCGGTATGTAATTTCAGGTTTCAGGACATGGAAACTTTTACTTCTGAACACCAAATTTAGCAACTTTTATTTCTGAACACCAAATTGAGCATTTTAAAGGTCTGTACATAAATTTACCAATTTATGGCCACCACATTGTAATAGTTGATGCATAACAACATCAAGGTCTGAGTTGATGATGGTGTTTTGTATATTCTGTTGCTTAAGGTCAAGGGTCAAGACTCAAGACGCATGCTTGGATCAGATTTCCTGATAAATTTGATACAATGTTATGTTTTGTTGTATGTTGTGTACAATGTTGATTCTTGATACCATGGAGGTGGATTTCTTTTCTTTCTTTAGTCTACTTCTCTTTTTGGGAACCTGAGGCAATTTTTATGTTCATTTCTCTAAATTTTCAGTGTCATTCGGTAAGAATAAAGTAATCATACAGTCTCCAGAGTGCTTCACAAAACTAAGTTTCTCTTTACCCTTATGCTCATGCTTCATTTTTTGCATCTGGGAGTAAATGATGTGGTTTCCTTGGAGTGTGTGTGGATAGAAGGAGAGTCTTAGGAAGCGAAGAATTGGGAAAATTTTCTAATTCTTTGGAGTTGGGTTAACAAGAAAGGCAAAAGCTTCCAAGAAAATAGGGGATCTGATTAACTGCCAAATTTTATAGACAATGGGTATTTCCTTACCACCAAAAGCACATGAAATTTTTATTTTTCCAGAAAAAGAGGCTGATTAAATTCGGGCTTCCCACTTTGCCCCTTTTCTACACCTGTTTTCTATACTTATTTTTGTGGTCCACATGAGATGGAATATGAGTTACCCTCTTTCTATACATGCCCACCATAGGCATGTACGCTCAAAGAGGTTTACTCTGTAGACGATTTTACTTCTGATACGCTGAGCAGTACAAAATGAAAAAAAACTGCTATTCATTACTCTCCAATCAGGTGTTCTCTGCTTTAGCCTTGTACAGGGCCTTCTGGGGTTCAAGTTTAGATAGTAGTCAGCTAATAAAGTTGATCATAAATCTGACCATGTGCATGTGAACCAAACATAATATAGCTTCAAGGGAACATTTTAGTTTTGTACTTGATCCACAACTGGCAAACCTTGCATCCATTGCGTACTATTTCTGCATAGGCGAACATGAATCTTCCATTCATGAAAAGCCAAATGAAATTTAATCGACCATATGTGCAATTTGGGTAAATAGAAAAATCTTCTTTTTGTTTTCAAGCTCTTTATGCTACCAGGTCTAGCTTTTTTGCAACTTTCTTGGTAAATTTTCATCCTTGCCAAAATACATGCTGGAAAGTTGTTTTTTCCTTAATTTTTCTTTAACTTCATTTTTTAGCATTATTTTCTTTCATATTAAGTAGAACCTTGCATTTAGAGTAACTTCTGAGAATGTTTGTTGCTACAGCTTGAGAAGGCTTTGCATGAAATGCGCTCAGATCATGCAGAAATAAAGTTTACAGCTGATTCAAAGTTAGCTGAAGCTAATGCTCTGGTTGTTAGCGTTCAAGAGAAATCTTTGGAGGTGGAAGCAAAGGTGCATGCTGCTGATGCCAAGCTTGCTGAGGTGAGCAGAAAGAGTTCAGAGATTGAGAGGAAATTGCATGAGGTGGAGGCCCAAGAAAATGCACTTCGAAGGGATCGGTTGTCGTTTAATTCTGAGTATGTTTTGTGATCACGATTCTATTATATAAATCCCTTCCTTCACTTCTTATTCAGCTTTTTTGCTTGCATTCACTTATTTGGAGCACTGTGATGAAGATTGTAATGCTTCGAAATAAATTTAATGTACTCAAAAAAAAAAAAATTCTTCTTTCTTCCCAGACGAGAAGCACATGAGAATTCTATATCTAAGCAAAGGGAAGACTTGCGAGAGTGGGAAAGAAAATTACAGGAGGGAGAAGAGAGGCTATCTGAAGGTCGAAGATTGCTCAACCAAAGAGAGCAGAGGGCGAATGAGAATGATAGGATCTTGAAGCAGAAGCACTCTGACCTTGATGATGTACAGAAGAAGATTGACTTAGCTAATGCCACTTTGAAAAAGAAAGAAGAAGATATAGGCAGCCGGCTAGCTAACCTAGCTCTTAAAGAGAAGGCAAGTTTGCCCCTAAATGGAAACTGTTGTTAAGTTTGGAGTTGGTTTTTATGTTTATGTTTGTTTCTTTTGGTGCAGCAAGCCGATGCCATAAGAATGAGCCAGGAGAAGAAAGAGAAGGAATTACTTGAACTAGAGGAAAAGCTCAATGTTAGAGAAAGGGTGCGTGCTCACACCCTATTTATCTGTATATTGGTTGCAGCCAGTTTTAATTTACTTGTCACATACACATGGGCCTTTTATACATATTACAAGTACCTGGTCGAGGGGGGACTTTTTACTGCCAAAATCATGCCATGCCATAAGACCTTAATGATTGATGTTATTTCTGGTGTCCTGATAAATTGCTGGCCGGATTTATTGAGTGATGCTATTATACTTCTTTAGTTGTTGATCTTGTTTTTTTGTTTGTCTTTGTATTTCCTACTCCCAGTGTATTCCTTCTGTTGTTCTTCATAATTGGTGCACTCTTTCCTTCTTTCCTCACTTCCTGGCACTCTAAAGAAGCTTTAGGCACTTCACTTGTAATATCGTGATAAAGAGAATGTGGAGTACCTGAAGCTTTTTTTGAGTGCTACAGACATTTGCCGCACATGAACAAAGAATTTAAAATAAAGAATAAAATAGTGCTGAGCTAGGACATGGCAACACTATATTAATACTCCAGTGACTAATAAAGCTAGTGCCTAAAAATTGGGGCCATAAATTGATTCTAGTTTAGAAGCATGGCTATACTTACTGACAAAACTTTTTCAAATGGATCTCTTACAGGTTGAAATTCAGAAACTTTTGGATGAACACAAGACACTTCTGGATGTGAAGAGACAGGAGTTTGAGTTTGAAATGGACCAGAAAAGGAAATCATTGGATGAGGATTTGAAAAACAAGGTTGTTGAGGTGGAGAGGAAAGAAGCTGAAGTCAATCACATGGAAGAGAAAGTTGCAAAACGTGAACAAGCACTTGAAAAGAAATTGGAGAAATTTAAAGAGAAAGAGAAGGACTTCGAATCAAAATCAAAAGCTCTGAAGGAACGGGAGAAGTCTGTCAAAGTTGAGGAGAGAAACTTGGAGAATGAAAAGAAACTAATACTCGCCGATAAGCAGAACATGCTTGGTCTCAAGGTTGAGCTAGAGAGAATGCAGGCTGACCTTGAAGAACAGCAATTGAAGATAAATAAAGAGAAGGAAGACCTTAAAGTAACTGAAGAGGAGAGGTCAGAGCATGCTCGTTTGCAATCGCAATTAAAACAGGAGATAGACGATTGCAGAATCCAGAGGGAACTGCTTTTGAAGGAAGCTGAAGATTTGAAGCAGGAAAAGGAGAAGTTTGAGAAAGAGTGGGAAGACCTGGATGAGAAAAGAGTTCAGATTAAGAAAGAACTAGAAGATATGACTGTTCAGAAGGAAAAGTTGCAAAAACTAAAACGGTCAGAAGAGGAAAGGTTAAACAATGAGAAACTGGAAACACAAAATTACGTTCGGGAGGAGTTGGAAGCTCTCAGACTGGCTAAAGATTCATTTACAGCTAGCATGGAGCATGAAAAGTCCATAATGGCTGAAAAATTTGAGAGTGAGAAAAGCCAAATGCTTCAGGATTTTGAACGACAGAAAAGAGAACTTGAGACTGAAATGCGGAGAAAGCAGGAGGAGATGGACCATTGTTCGTATGAGAGGGAGAAATTATTTGAGGAAGAGAGAGATAAGGAACTTAATAAGGTCAATTACTTACGGGAAGTAGCGCAACGGGAAATGGTTGAGATGAAAGTTGAGAGACTTAGGTTACAAAAAGAGCAAGAGGAAATCTCCGCAAACCAGAAGCACCTTGAAGGGCAGCAACTTGAAATGCGAAAAGACATTGATGAGCTTGTTGGACTTAGCAGGAAGTTGAAGGACCAGCGGGAACAATTTATGAAGGAAAGAGAACGTTTTGTTGCTTTTGTTGAGAAACAGAAGAGTTGCACGTACTGTGGAGAAATAACACGTGAATTCGTGCTTTCTGATCTTCAATCCTTAGCAGAAATGGACGGTGCAAATGCCCTTCCTCTGCCAAGACTAGCTCAGGATTATTTTGAGGAGGCTGTCCAGGGAACCTCTGAGAGACCAAATATAGAGATTTCCCCTGGTGTTGGTAATTCGGGATCTCCTACATCTGGTGAAACCATGTCATGGCTTCGGAAATGCACAACGAAGCTATTCAAGTTCTCGCCTGGCAAGAAGATTGAACTTACTACCACTCAAAATGTGATAGAGGTGGCATCCCTTACAGAGAAGCATGTTACTGTAGAAGAATTGCCTAAAAGATTATTGAACACTGAACAAGAACCGGAACTATCCTTTGCAATTGCAAATGATTCTTTTGATGCCGAGCGTATCCAATCTGACAACAGCATCAGAGAGATTGAAGCTGGCCTAGATCCATCAGTTGATAATAGCAACATTAGCAGTAAGGCCCATGGTATTCTAGAAGATTCCCAGCATTCTGGCAGGAAGGTGGTTCGGCGCAAAGCTGGCAAGAGTGGCAGGCCTAGGGTTAATAGAACACAAGCTGTGAAGAAAGTGGTTGCAGAAGCAAATGCTAGCCTTGTGAATTCCCTTGAACACAATGAGATTGATGCCAATGGTAATGCAGACAATGCTGTTTCCATGAATGAAGAAAGCCGGGAAGAATCTAGTCTTGTGGGTGCAGGTCCAAGAAATAAACTAAAGCGGAATCGTGTGCATACCTCGCAAACCACAGCAAGTGAGCAAGAGGGTGGTTACAGTGAAGGACACTCTGATAGTGTCACTGCAGAGGGGCGCAGGAAGAGGAGACAAAAGGATACCCCAGCTGTACAAACACCTGTTGAAAAACGATACAATCTCCGCCGACACAGAACGTAAGTTCTCACAATTTCTATACTAGTTAATAGGCTGAGAACACCCCAGGCAGATGATCTCTTAACTATTAAGGGGGTTAATAGAGTGAATCACACTTTTACCACTAAACTATTCCCGCTACAATGCGATTATTGTATACAAAGGACCTTTTGGCAAATATAGTTAGAAAAAAAAAGAGAAGCTTCATCTTTTCATTTGGAAAAAAGCGGCAAGAGAAGGACCAGTCTGCTTAGGAGCCTGTTCCTCCTTTGTTTATAATCCAAGCTGTTGAGGTCAACCAAGAGAACATCTGTACTCAGGGCTGGGCTTTCCCTGCGCTGACTCAGAGATCATGGTTTTATGTGTTAAACAGCCACCAACTCCAAAAACTTAAGCTTTTGGAGAGAATGTAACTTAAGTATTTATACTTCAATATGCCCCCAAACATGCGGGCTAGATTTTGGGCCTAGTATGTGTAAATCTTTTTAATAATTTGGGTGGCGGCGAAATTCGAACGTTCTGATATCATATTAACCAATCATCTACTTCAAAAGCTTAAGCTAGAGAGGGTGTAACTTAAGTATTATACTTCAATAATGCATTTTTGCTCGTCTCTAAGTGTTTGAAATAGCAACCAGAACAATGACTTGTAAGGATTTATATTCATTTCATGAGGGGGCTGGCCATTGATTTATATTGTTTAAAGGGCATAGTAAAAAATTGCATGCACAAATTAATAGATGCAGGAACATGTGTGGTGCATCGGGTTAGCAGACCTCTTGCATTTCTAATGCTTTATGATTTATGGCTGTCAGGGCAACTTCTGTGGCAGCTAATGGAGCCTTGTCTGACCCAAGCAAAGGGAAGGAAAAAGATGGTGGTGGCGGTGGAAGAATAGAGGAGGAAATTCCCAACTCCAATGCTGCGCCTGTGGAAGAAGTTGATGTTGGTGACGGTACAAGGAAAGATTTTTCCAACTTCAATGCTACTCCTGCCCCTTCTGCAGGGGTTGCTAGTGAAGATGAGAAGGCATTAAGAAACACCGAGGTTGTCCATGAGTTTTCATCAGATAGACCTATCAGGGTACTCTCTCTCTCTCACACACACACACACACACACACACACACACCCCTAGCACATATTAACATCTAGGTATCTGTCTGTATGATATCTTTTTGTGCATGTATAGTCATGGGAACAACTGCTTGCCCAACAAAAAAAATCCCACCCATCACCCCAACAAAGAAACAAAAATAAAAAACAAAAACCAAAAATAAAAGAGAAGAAAAGAAAAAAAACAAAAACCAAAAATAAAAATGAAGAAAAAAAAAAAAAAATAGAGTTCAGCTTTAGAAACTGAAAGGACAATGCAGCACCGCCGGAGCTGTGCTGTGCTATTTTATAATTGAGTTACTTTTTGGATTTAACAAAATTGTGCTATTCGCCAATGAATTTTGTATCTTTGTCTAAAATATAAAAGGCGAATAAGTAACCATATGGACTGGATTCAAAGCTGGGAACATCAAAACTAAGTGCGCACTAATGTAGTTATTGGAAGTCTTTTTTTTCACCCTGCTAACCATGATATATGTTGAAATTTGTCCTGCGATTATATGATGCCCAGGATGGGAATGCTGAAAATGATATTGCAATGAGTGAAGAGGTGAATGGGACACCAGGGGCCAGGCATTACATCAATAAGGACCAGAGGAGTGAATCCAGTGGGGAAGATGGAGCAGGGGATGAAGACAATGGCGTTGATGACAACGATGATGAAGGGGAGGCCGAGCATCCTGGTGAAGTCTCCATAGGGAAGAAGTTTTGGACCTTTCTCACAACATGATGATGCTGAATGCAGCTGTGCTTGTGCTTAGTTTCACAGGTGTCAGTTACTTGATTATGCTGCATGAGAGTTCTCTTCTTTTTGATATTAGAGAGTTCTCTGCTGTGTAGTAGTTAGTGTGTATTAGTTTGAAATGTAGTTATAATCACGGAAGTGGAATTTATGTGGTGGCCGTTTGGTAATCTTTTCTCTTACTAGGATATTGGGGCTGTTTACAACAATCCTAGATTATTTGATGTAGTTATTTTGGCCAGTGTATTTGTAACACTGTACCTAAGTTTCTTCCTCTTTTTTTTTTTTTTTGGTGGGTCATCACTTTCCTTCCCTGTTGTATCAGATACTTGTGTTTTTATGCTTTTGGGGAAATGATTGTTTTAAAACCTTGATCTAAATGAGGTCTACGATTCTATTTTGGTGTCATCTTGGTTCCTTCTGCTGAATCTCAACTTTTTAACTGGTTGGCGTCCTCGTCCTGTGATTTTCTTTCCTTTCTTCGGCTTGAAATTCATCTTTATTATTAGTGTGAAAATCTACAAAAAAAAAAAAAGTAAACTCGCCTGTGTCCCCCCCCCCCCCCCCCCCAACAACACCCAAAACAAAAAAACAACCAAAAAAAAAAAAAAAACAACGGTGATATAAAGGCACCATAATGAAATTAGTTGTCCTCTTCCATCCTTGATAAAATTCCACCATGGCTCAAACAATTGGCAGAGTCCAATAGTCTTGTAATGATTACTCACATTTCAAAACAACTCATACAATGTATTGCTTGGTTGATTTGTAATACTGCAAATGTGATCGTCCGAATTTCGTCATGTCTAATTTCTTTCTTTATATACTTATTTTGGTGTATCACCCAATTCTGTACATTTCACAATGTTGAGACCGATGCTTCTCGAGTAAAAATGATCAATACATCAATCTTGAACTATGACCTCCACCCTCACCTGCATGAACTCGCCATGAATCCACGCACATGCATACAAGTACACGTTTGTATATATACAAGTACACGTCTATATAAATACATATATCTAATAATCATTAGAGAAACAATGTTTCTAAACAGTCCCCCTGTCATCCTGAGTTTTATGCAAAAACATTACATCAACGACTTACAACCATTTTCTAGTTGGTTGAGGACGATGCCCTCTTCCTGATACTCCTACTACCATTTTGCATTGTTTCCATCACCTCTCCCTCATCTTGAAACTTCACTTTCCCTGTTTCATCACTTGCCTGCTCCATAAACAATGGGTTTATGAAGCCTTTTGAGCCTGATCCTGACCCGGAAGGAGTAGCCCGATAATGGATTTCATAATTCTTACCATTGCTAGAATTCCCCATTTCAATATGTGCCTTTCCCTTTGCCTTGATTGCTGACTCTTTGTCTTTGTATATATTCGTGTTGGCCTCTTCTTCACTGCTGCTATCTGCTGAAGAAGTATCACTGAGTGTGCGGAAGATAGTAACACTCTCTTTCTTTGAACCTTGGAAAGAGTAGCTTCTTGTTTTCCCATCATATAAAGGGAGGAGTGAGTTAGACGAGGCAGCTCTATCCCTTCCCAAACTGTAACTTGTTGAAAGCTTCCTCTGAATACCTTCCCTTTCAGTTACCAAATCTCCCAGCTTTTCTAGCAATTCATTACCCACTGCTTCTTCTGCAGCCTTCTGTTCAAGCTCCGAAATCGTCCTGTCCAGTGTTTTCTTTTGAAGCCGAAGAGAACGCTGAAAAGTGAATAACATAAGAAGCAAACTCAAAAGTCCACAGGTCATGTAGTTCTTTAAGATTTGGTAAGTAAGGTTTCATTTTTTCTCCTCTATTAAATCACTTTCCTGGAGAATAATTGCCTATTATTATTTGGTTGAACAAGGCATTCAACTAGCTGATCATATTTCAACTTCGTTGTAGTGGATTTACTTTTATCTTTCACAAAATCAGTTAAAGTAGTTACAGTTTTTTTAACATGCATCACATAACTGTCGCTGCCTGTCTGGCATTAAGATGAAGCATCTCGGCAATTGAGGGTTGAGCTTTCTCACTATACAATGACCACTATGAACGAAAGACAAACAACGATGGAGGAGTAGGAGTAGGAACTAGCTTTAATTGAAGTAGGGGTGTGCCAGTTGCAGGTCATAATCCGTAAAAATGGAATGGAGGCCAAGGAACTTGAAATGGAGAAAATAAAGAGATAAGTGACAAAAGGTAGAGGCTCAAAATCTTCCTTGCTCATTCTTAGGAACTTGTATTTCTTTTTTTTTTTTTTTCGAGTGCTTAGGTGCTAGAAGGTACGTTTCACAAGCCTTGTGATAAAGCAAGGGTCTTTCAACTCATTTGAAGGATAAGAGTCGACTTGGCGGTAGAAGTGGGGTCATTTTTCTTTCTTTCTTTTTTTGGTGCTGAGGACAAACCATTTGTCCCTGGTTTCCCGATTGACCCCTGGCAGTCCTGAGTTCTACTTGATCATCCCCAGATATAGATGCGTAACACTACTAGTCACTCTCTCCTGATCTAAAACCGTGACTGAAAGCAGTTTCTTTGGCGGTTTTACTAAGCTTAGTTGAAAATGAAAAAGGGACGAGAAGAAAGTAGTAGTGCGAAGCGACATGCATATTCTAGCTAGCTTGCCAATTCATTTCGAGTGTAGCAATGACGAGGTCTCTTTGAGGATACCAATATCAGTTAAAGAGTCTGAAAGATATCGGAAAGGATTTTAATCTTACTCGTTTCTCTAGGAATTTTCCAAGGTTTTGACCTTGAAGCTTTCTTTTCCTCCAAAACATACAACAAAACCTGACAAGTGCTGCTAATACTATCATAATTGCAGATTCCAATAGCAGGAATAACAGAATCGCCCTTTCATTACCTGGAAAAAAAGTAGCAGAATTGGCTGTTCAGTACATATTATGGTTTGTCCATATCAGTAAAAAGGGTAGTCAGTCACCTGTATAGATGCTGACATGCTTGGGCTTTGTTTGGGAGCAGCTGGAAGCGAGCTTCTGATCTGGAATTAGGAAAGAGACAAAAATAAACATCAATGCACACTATGCAGCAACGCAATTACATGGAAGTTAAGAGATCATTACGTGTGCTACGACATGGAAGTGGGTTGCCAATATCTGCATCAAATGAGAAATCAAAATTTTGAGGTCAATCATGACAAAAATTTAAAATGGATCAAGACGGACTATATAGCTGACACTGCTGACCCCAGAGTCTCTTTTACAGGGACTCCAATGAGTGCTTTAATATGTTCTTGAGAAGTAGAGTCTCAAATTGAGAATAAAATCAAAAAGAGAAGTAGAAAAACGATTTCTTAGTGATGTTCAGAGGGAAGTTTTCATGTTTCTTGTTTAGTTTCTAGGTAGCCAGTCTTCACTTAACTCGGCTCAAGTTTGACTTAGCCCAAGCAATGCCAAAAGATTGGGACATAAGGCTTAGTTTGGTTTGATTTAATATTTCTTAGCATGTTATGTAAAAAGTTCTCTGAACAAGGGTGAAGAAAGAGTGACCCTCTTAGAACTCCCCATATAAGCAGCAGAACCACATCTTCCTGAATGAACAGATATCATCTAAACCTGAGATCTCATAACCATCTGGGACAAAAATACCTATCCACTGTTCAATTTAGTTGCAAAATGACTATAGCTGTGTAGTCTAACAATGAGCACTACAGCCAACATCAGGAAAAATCTTTAGTTGACCACATAATAATCTAGTTTTCCCCAAGTGGCTTGCAAATAAAAAAACACCAACATCAAGTTTATCCCGTTGTGCAGCCACATAATGACCTTATTTATATAGATACAGTTATAAATTTCTCATACTTAGATTAACTTCACAATTACACGTTAAATTGCATATGCATTTTTTATTCTTAACATGAGAACTACTAAACCCTCATGATCTTTCTAAGTAAACCATCTTAAACTAGCATATAATAAACAGCCCAGCATAATAAGTTGTAACATATGCAAACATGTTATAAGCCACTCATCGGAGGACAATGAAAAGGAAACCAAAAGAAGGAACGATTTGGTTTGCAGAGAGATACTCACTTGAAGTAGTAACAAAAGCAAGAAGAATCCTCTCATCCAGTACAAAATGTTGTAGATCGCTCTCAAACAGTAAGGATGAGAAATGACCTATGCCATCAATCATGGGAAAAGATTGGAGTACATTAAACATGATAATAAAAAATGAAATGATAATAGAAAAATTCCAATTGCCAAATAGAAATATTAAAATGAAACAAATTCAGAATTACCAGGATAGCTTTCAGACCAATAAATGGACCCACTCGCTGGAACAAGCATGGTAAAGATAACAGTTCTTGGTTTCATTGCAAGTATATAAGTGTATTCACCAATGGTGTGGCTACTCTTTCCCTCCATCTCTGTCTGAGAAATATAAACAGCATATCCAGAACAATCAAGAACTGGACTAACTTGGACCACAGTGTCCAGTCTATTGGCTTTTGGAAATTTCTTGAGAACCCCGGTTGGAGAAAATGAGTAGAGAAACCCATCCAGTGATCCAACAGATATCCAACCTATTATGTTGATCAAAGCAACTTAAAAAATAAGTAAGTTTTTAACAAAATCCTCACAAATCAAAAGTATAGGAACTAAACATAATAATCAAATTCACAGTGTAATTCTTTTTTTTCGTTATACGGGAAACCCCATGACCTGTCCTTAGCGAGTAGAGACACACTTATGTCGCTCAGGCTCGAGACTCTGAGTAGAACCAAAGGTAAAGCCTGAGTGTATGAACTGGTTCCTTAACTCATACACCATTTAAATAAGGACTTACGTTTCGCCGGGGATTCAAGACTCACACCAGAACTTGGATACAGTTCATCCAAGTAACTAAGGTCTTGTCCAACCAAGCAGCCACGCTTTTGAACCCAGGCGACTTTGAACCCCTGACCTCCCACTGGGAAGCCAGAGGCTCTTGCCAACTGAGCTACCCCAGTTGGTTCAGTGTAATTCAACAATACACAACTCATAAATTCATAGATGAAAATTTTTGAGTGTCCCATGACAACATGCTGCTTGCACCCCCACCCCCACCCAAATAAGCAGTGCTTCTCTCTTACACGAATATAACATTACCTTTTCTCTATGATTCCAAAAATTCTGGTCAATGTATATCATGCCAACATGATCTTTCATTTCTTCCAACAACTATGTGATCATATTGCACAAATTCTGGTCACTACTGAATGTACAATCCTATTGGCACTTCAACATTTTCTCAATTTCATAATGGATCTTATTCTACAGGCCATCAAATTACCGTTAGAATCAACAACTGGTGCAATATCTGTAGAACTTAATGGCCCAATATTTCCCTGCCACAGAACAGTTCCACTAGAGACATCTAGCGCCAGCACAAGAGCTCTAACTGCTACAGTAACATACAAGCGGCCATTGTTTCCCGGAGTAACAGTGAAAATCTTGCCAAATGAACTCAAATCCTGAATCCATTTGAAATGCGGACTGTGAACAGACAATGCGTAGAGTTCTCCTCCGGTATTTGAGATCTGAAAACGCAGAAGGTCCAAATGATTAGGTATTAAAGAAGTCTAGCATAATGAGATGGTGCTTTTTAAGTTTTAATCTCATGAAGAAAGATCCAAAAGAACTTGTAATTTGAAAAATCCTAATACATGATATTCTACAGTATCAGTGCGGCAACATCAACAAAAGGTGACTCATGAAATATTTAGGGTAGCAATTGATATATAATTGATGTGGTTCTAGAAAATGGATAAGAAAGGCAGATAATTAGGATGAGCTGATCTTACATATATACTAGCTTCGCACTGATCAATCACAGGGACTGAAGTAAAATAACAATCAGTAACATTTTTCCTACAACCTTGACGATAGCCCGATTGATAAAGCACTGGGCCAGCACTCCAGAGCAGCTGTCCATGCAATCTGTATGCAAAAAGCCCTCTATTCTTAATATTGATAAGTACACAAGAACTCGATGTGCTTACGGATATTCCAATAATTTCACCCGGTCTCTCTGTGCCAGGTTCTGGACCAAAGAATACTTCTGCAGCAGAATCAGAAGTTCCGATATTCAACAAATTGATTTTCAATACTCTGTTTTCTGCAACCAAATATATCTGCCAATAAATGACCAATAACTGTTTCAAAACAATGGAATCTTATACTGCACAAAGAGTCAACTACAGTCATATACATCATAGATGCCCAATTCTTACAAAATTAAAATCCTCAAAATTGAATGAGATTATTAAGGATGAGGAGGTTTAAACTTATAATATGAAATGTTCAAGCGTTTGAATGCCTCTAAACCAATGATGAATTGCATGACCAGCCAAAAAGAAGGATCTCATACAAGAGATCTGCAAAATAGAGAGCAGAGAGGGTGGCATGTAAATTTTATGATGTACTCTTTCTTTAGTGCATTTAATGCGATAAGAGAAGAACCTGTACATTGTGGAGATTAATTCCTTCCCTCTAGTCGCTGAGCTCCACGCCTAATTTACAGTAATTTTAATGGTATCTTTTTAGTTTTCATTATTTACTACAATACTCCTAAGTGTTTCTGACCAAACCTTCTTAATTAGCCCTCCCCTGCTACCACCTCTTAAGCTTACCCAATTTCTCAATTATGGCTCATAATGTCCTCCATCTATCTCAGCATGCATCCATAACTCCTCAAGAAAAAAAAAGGGTACCTCCCAATGTCATATTTTACAGTCATCTCCTGATTGAAAGTAGATTCTTTCTAATATAAAGCTGGGAGAAAAAGTCAATTATCAAAATCAGCTGGATTATTTATTTTGCATCACAAGGAAATTAACCAGCCAAATGTGATAACAGGATCGTCTGATTGGAAAATGCCTTATTAGAGGCATGTTGTGTGATTCTATTGCTCTCTAGATAAGAACTTCTGCCAGAGTCTGATTTATCACATTAATGTACAACACACCATGAAATCAGAAATCCAAACCTTTGCAGACCGGGAAAAAAAAAAACCTTTCTAATATGTCTGCTAATCTGAGATCTTGATGCTTAAGCGAAAGAAATCAAGCCAGGTCTATTTACCTTTCTTGCACCCCCTCGAACTGGAGCTATACCAACATTGCATGTATAATTGAGAACTATTGTCCAAGCCATAGAACCATTGCTTTCAAAGGCAAACAAGTTCATCCCAGAACAAGTATAAACCCTCCTGTCATCTCCAATCAGTGGTTTGCCGAGCCTATAAGCACCTTTTACGAAAGGCTCTTGAGCTGTAACACATAAATAAAAAGCAATAGCATAATATAAATAAAGGCCGAATGCTTACAGATAAATATAAAGAGTAAAGACCATATCACCATCAGGGAAAGTTTCAGTATTAGTGCATTTATGGAAAGAACTCTTTGGGTGGAACATGGTAGGGTCACATCTCTGATACCTATAAGATTTCTTACACTTGATTTTGTATCTAGAATACATACTAGACAACCTCATTTATATTAACCTTTTTAATAAAACGGATTCCAAATTCCAGAGATGTTTTCAATAGACATCCATTAGCATACGTACCATTTGGGAATGCATACTTTTCTGCATTACATATATCAAATAATCATTGCAGCCCAGACATATAAATGCTCACAATCATCTGCCTTAGCTGAGCAGTATTATTCACCAACCACTCCTATGGAATTCATTTCAATAATTCACAGCCACATCCTAGACCTAATCAAACAATAATTTAGCAAGACTCGTAATATTGCAGTGATCAAGGCATCTCTAATGTAGCTAGCTATTATACAAAAGGACCAAATTCAACCAAAATAAGAAATAGAAGTTCCCAAATACTAGTATTGCAAACAAAATCAATAGGCGAGAGTAAAGATTAAATTTATTTTCCTTCTATTTACTCTGTTTCTTTGACAGCATTCCTAGGTCAAGTCATATGCTCAAACGCAGAAATTTTCGAATTTCCCTTTAGATTTGGGATTTTCCTCCCTTGGGAACGACAATGGAGATTTCCATGTTTCTTTTTTTGTTTCACTCCATAGTTTTCACAGCGACGAACAGATTCTGAGTCGAAAATAATACATATACAGCATAAAAAAGCCAGAGAGGGGAAGGAAGAGAGAGAGAGAGAGACCTGAAAATGAGCGGACATAGGAAGGGAAGTTCTGGAATGCTGCGGAATGAGAAATAACAGAAGCTGGTGGAACAAGCAGGATCAAAATGAAAAAGTATTGAATTTCCATTATACTAAAGAGGACTGCGAGAGAGAGAGAGAGTTGGGGGTTCAATCAAGCATCTGCTTCATGGTTTTCAAAGAGGAAAACGGTAAGACAACCGCTCTGTAATTGGCGGGAACGACAAGTTTGGTTAAACGTGGGGTCTGTACAGGCCCATACTGATTTTAGGGGACCGCATAACTACTGGACTTTCCCCGTTGCCCGGCTCACATCACCTGTTATAAAATTTAGAGAAATTTGGTAATCGATACAAAATTTAAATTTAATTGAGTTAAATTACATTAAAAAAATTTACTTGGCCTTAAGTATATTTTTTTAAAAAAAGATTAAAAGGTCATTTATTACTCAATTACTCTCTCTCCCTCTCCCTCACTCTCTCTTCCCTATTTTCTCTCTCTCCCCCGTTGATAATTAATTTTCTTTTTAAATACGTAAAAATTTGATTTGATTTTTTCATCTAGTTCTCCCGTACCTTCTCTCTCTCTCTCTCTCTCATCATTTTGTTTCCTCTAATTTTATCTCACCGTTACTCTTTCTTTTCTTATTCTCTCTTTCACTCCCTATTTTCTTTCGTCATTACTTTTTCTCTCATTATTCTCTCTCCTTATATCAAAGTTACAACAAAACAATTACACCAATCATATCAAGGTTACAATAAAATAATTACACTAATCAGTTACATCAATTAGTTACAATTTTCTTATAATACACCAAACATTTATTCATGTATTCTGATAAATTAAACAGTTATACCAAATAATTACATAAAATTACGATACCAGCCCAATTTGTTATTTAATAATTTGCATAAATCAAAGAGTAATATCATTTAGTATCACGATATAGTCACACCAATTTTGGTGTTTGGTGTATATAATTTGTGTAATCATGTCATGATACTAATTGATATAATTCTTTGATTTATGTAAACAACTGAATGACAAATTGGATTGGTGTCATAATTTTATGTAATTTTTTGGTATAATTGAAAGACTCGAACACACATGACAAGTATATAATATTTGTCATAAACATATTTACATGTGACATGCATGCGTAGGATTGACGATTAATATTTAATTATGAGTAATGATATTATTTTATTATTTTATGTACATTAGCGCATGTGAAATTAATCGGGAGACAAGCATGTGACATCAATTTATTTTTATTAAAAATAATAATAATGAAATAAAATATATTAGTATATATAAGGAGTGGTTAAGTGTCCGAGAGACGAATCGGAAGTTGGTGGGTGAATCTTTGTTCCGCTTTGTTTGTGATGCTTGGAGTGATGTTTAGAGCTTGGATCCTGTAAACTCTACTTTGATTGCTTTTATTCCTAAGGTACCAGCTCCAGTCTCTGTTGCCCAGTTCCGGCCTATCAGTCTTTGCAACGTGACCTGTAAAGTGGTAACAAAGGTCATTGTGAATAGACTAAAACAATTTCTTCCTGATTGGATTTGGCCAAATCAAAGCAACTTTGTGTCAGGCCGTAACATCTACAATAATATCATTATTGCTCAGGAGGTTTTTCATTCTATGAAGTTGAGAAAGGATAAAAAAAGGTTTGATGGCTATTAAACTTGATTTGGAGAAAGTTTATAATCGGCTTAGATGGGATTTCATTCAGGATACTTTAGTTGACATTGGTTGGCCTGACCGCCTTGTCCATTTGATAACGAGACATGTTACAGCTTGTGATATGAACGTGTTATGGAATGGGGACATGACAGATAGTTTTCGGCCATCTAGGGGTATCCGTTAGGGTGACCCCGTATCTCCATATTTGTTTGTTCTATGTGTGGAAAGATTGGGCCACCTAATTGAAGCCAAAATTCAGGTAAAGGCTTGGAAACCAGTAGTGTTTGTGAAGGATGGGCCACAGTTGTCTCGCCTTTTTTTTTTTTTGCGGATGATATTATTTTTTTTATGAAAGCCACATTGGAGCAAGCCCGAGTGATCAAGGATTGCCTCTCCATCTTTTGTTCGTCTTTAGGCCAGAAGGTGAGTTTTAATAAAACTAAGTTGTTTGTGTCCAAGAATGTTTCAGAAGGCCTAGCTAGAGCTATCAGTAATGACCTTCAATTTGGCCTCACTACAAATTTTGGAATATATCTTGGTGTTCTGTTGATTCATGCGATAGTTACTTATGGGAAATGGTTGATAGAGTCCACTCCAAAAAAAAAAAAAAAACGGAAGGCATGGATGGTTGATACTTTGTCCTTAGTAGGGAGAAGAACACTTATTCAAGCAGTGGTTACGGCTATGCCCAATTATGCCATGCAAACTGTTAAACTTCCCTTGTCAATATGCTCAGAAATTGATAAGTGCAATAGAGGGTTCTTGTGGGGTTCTTCGGCTAGCAAGAGGAAAATCTCCTTAGTTTCTTGGGATCATGTTTGTCAACCTAAGATAAATGGAGGATTGGGAATCAGGAGGATGGAAGTCTTTAATGATGCTTTCTTGATGAAGTTAGTTTGGGCCATGTTGACGGCAACCTCAGAATCATGGGTGCAGGTACTGTTATCCAAATATTGTAGGAACACCAATGTCTTAATGAGGTCCCAAGAACTGTAAAGTGTTCGTATTTGTGGATGGGCGTTTGTAGTGTTTGGAGCAGAGTACTTCAAGGGTGAGATGGTGCCTGGGTGATGGCCAAACTGCTAGGTTTTGGAGCGATTGGTGGGTGCTGGACGTGGGGCCTCTAGAGCATCTTAGACTTTCAAACTTGGTGGGTGAAGATGGCTCATGGGATTGACATTATATTGAGGGTTTTCTACCCCTAAGGTGTGCTCTCAAATTGTTGTTATTCCTCCACCAGTTTCTGCTAGAGATAGTTAGTAATGTAAAGAATCCCACTTTGGAAAAGTTGAAAGGGAATGTAAGGGTTTAAAAGGAGAAACACACCAAATTTTATAAATTTGGATGGTGGGAAGATTTGGAGGGAAGCTCCAAATATTTCAAATCAATGGACCTTAATTAGACTTTAAATAAAATAATCTTTAAAGTCAAAAGATGGGCACTTGGTCACTTGGGGCATCTTGGGCTTGAAACATTTAAATAATTAATTATTTTTGTATTAATTAATTGTTAAATGTCTTTTGGCCCAAGAGTTGTGTCTCATCACTAAGGTATTATAAATACTTGTACAGATCTTTCAATTGAAGTATATACAAAAAAACGTTTATCTATTCTGTTCTTGGGAGAATTTTAGAGTTTGTTATCTGAAATTTTATTTGACTTTGTTAATCCTAGAGGAGTTTGCCATAAACCCAGCAGCAACATAGTGGGGGCATAATTTCCTTAAGGACAGTGAATACACGATCAAAGCCTTCTAATTTGGTGAAATTCTATTTTGCTAACAATCTTAAGGAAATTAAATAACAATGGAGGCTACTGGTTCGGTTACTAGTTCAAATTCTGTTTTCAAGTTCAATCCCGAAGTGTTCAAGTTAGATCGTTTTGATGGAACGAACTTCACACGCTGGAAGGATAAATTATTTTTTTTGCTTACTAAATTGGGTGTTGCGTATCTGCTAAGTGAAAACCTGTCAACTATTTCTAAACCATTTGACAAAGAAGATGAAGAAACTATAGCAACTCGCAAGAAACGCATGGAGGATGAAGTTCGTTGCAGAGGCTATATTCTGAATTCACTGTCTGATCGATTATACGATCTGTTTCGTTCAATCAAATCCCCACAAGAAATCTGGAGTGCCCTAGAGAAGAAATATACATCTGTCAAGCAAGGTACAAACAGATTTTTCGGTATGAAATTTTTTGAATTCAAAATATTTAATAATAAATCTGTCATGGAACAAAGTAGATGAACTGCTTGTCCTAGTATCTAGACTCAAGGATTTTAAAATAGAAGTGTCTGAACAATTTCAAGTGGTTGCGGTAATTGTAAAATTGCCTACTACTTGGAATGATTATCGAAAGAAATTGTTGCATACTTCTGAAGATTTTACCATAGACCAACTCATGAAACATATCCGAATAGAAGAAGAAACTCGCAGTCGTGAGAATAAAAATGCTTCAGAGTTTGGTTCTAAAGTAAACAATATTGAGTCTAATATGAAGAAATCAACAAAGACTGGTAATACTTCTAGAAATAAAAGGAAGTATATTGAATCTTCAAGTAATAATTTTGCCAACTTTAAGAAGAACAAGACATGTTTTTTCTGTGGCAAGAATGACCATTTCAAAAAAGAGTGCAGGTTCTATAAGAGATTGAAGACAGAAGCAAACGCTGGACAAAAGAAGACAAATATTGTTGAACGTCCTCCAAGTCCTTCTGAAATTATAGCCATGATTGTTGAACTAAAAATCAGCATGATTACAAAATGTAACATGACAACAACTGACAAGACTGCAGATTGGTGATATGATTCTGGTGCGACAATGCATGTTTGTAATGACAAAAATTTGTTCAAGAACTATGAAGTTGCATCAAATGATAAAAGTGTTATGACGAGGAATCATGATACTGCCAAGGTGCATGGAAAATGGACTGTTGAACTGCAGTTTACCTCTGGAAAGAAATTGATCTTAATGAATGTATTTCATGTTCCTAATGTGAGAAAGAATCTGATATCTGCAAGTTTGCTGTGCAAGAAGGGCTTGAAGGTTGTCTTAGAGGCAAAAAAAAATTATATTTTCTAAGAATGGTGTCTTTGTTGGACAAGGGTATTCATGTGATGACATGTTTAAGTTGAACATTAATAAAGTTGATGTTTCTGTTTATATTTTTGAATCTCTTTTTAATTTATGGCATGCTCGTTTATCACATGTTAATTATGGATCAATTAAGTATATGTCTAGGCATGGTTTAATTCCATGTACAAATGAAAATTTTGGAAAATGTGAAATATGCATGCAAGCAAAAATGACTAAGAAACCTTTTCCAAAGAATGAAAGAACAACTGAAACACTTGAACTTGTGCATTCTGATATATGTGAATTAAATGGTCATTTAACTAGAGGAGGAAATAAATATTTTATTACTTTCATTGATGATCATTCTAGGTTCACTCATGTTTATTTAATGAGAACTAAAGATCAAGCATTTGATATGTTTAAATGTTATAAAACCTTGGTTGAAAATCAATTGAAAAAAAAAATTAAAATCCTACGAAGTGATCGAGGTGGTGAATATTTTCCAATTGAATTTACTGTTTTTTGTGAAGAAAATGGTTTGATTCATCAAACAAGTGCATCTTATACTCCACAACAAAATGGTTTGGTTGAAAGAAAGAATAGAACATTGGTAGATATGATTAATGTTATGCTTATGCATGCTAAACTTCCAACAAATCTATAGGGAGAAGCTCTATTAACAGCTTGCCATGTGCACAATAGAATATCCTCAAAAAAAACAAAAACTTCTCCATATGAAATATGGAAAGGAAGAAGGTCAAACTTAAGCTATTTGAGAGTATGAGGTTGTATAGCCTATTATAGAGTTCCAGATCCTAAAAGAACCAAATTAGGACCTAGAGCTCTTAATAGTGTTTTTGTGGGTTATGCTGAAAATTCAAAAGCATATAGATTGTTAGACATAGACTTGAATGCTAGCATAGAGTCTAAAGACGTTGAATTTTTAGAAACAAGTTTTCTTGAAAATTCAAATGTCAATCAACAATCGAATAGAGAAAATGTTGAACCTCTAATTACACAAGACATTAATATGGATCAAAATTCTTTAAATAATAAACGGAAACGAGTTGAATCTCTTAGTGAACCAAGGATAAGTCAAAGGGTAAGAAAAGAGAAAAACTTGGATTCTGATTTTATTTCTTCACAAGCAATAGTCTTCTTAGTTGAAGGAAATAGAGATGAGATTTTAAATAAAATACCCATTGTTATGCATTTGGAATAAGATCCTAAAACTTATAGTGATGCAATGGCATCAAGAGATTCCAGTTTTTGGAAGGAAGCAATAAATGATGAAATGGATTCACTTCTATCAAATGGAACATGGGTATTGGTTGACTTACCACCTAGTTGCAAACCAATCGGATGTAAATGGGTGTTTAAGAGAAAATATAATACTAATGGTTCTCTACAAACCTTCAAAGCAAGACTAGTGGCAAAAGGTTTTAGACAAAAAAAAGGAGTTGATTATTTTGACACATATGCTCCGGTGGCAAGAATTACTTAAATAAGAGTGTTGTTTGCTTTAGCATCAATATATGATTTGATGTTAAAACAACATTCTTAAATGGTGATCTTGATGAGGAAGTATATATGGAACAACCTGAAGGATTTGTACTTCCTGGTAATGAAAAGAAAGTTTGTAAATTGGTGAAATTCTTGTATGGATTAAAACAAGCTCCTAAACAGTGGCATGAGAAATTTGATAGTGTCATATTATCTCATGGTTTTAATCATAATGAAGCAGATAGATGCGTTTACTCCAAGTTTACTAAAGACTATGGTGTAATAGTTTATCTCTATGTTGATGACATGTTAATCATAGGAACCAATTTGAAAGGAGTAAATGATACTAAGAGATACTTGACTTCTCAATTTAAAATGAAAGATTTGGGAGAAGTCGATACTATCTTAGGGATTAAAGTTAAGAAACATATTGGGGGTTTTAATTTGTGCCAATCTCATTACATTGATAAGATTCTCTCCAAGTTTAACCACTTGGGAATTAAAGAAGCTGGTACCCCATTTGATGTTTCTAACAAATTGGCAGAAAATTCGGGTAGATCCATTAGTCAATTAGACTATGCAAGTGCAATTGGTAGTTTAATGTATGCTATGCATTGTACTAGACCTGATATTGCCTTTTCTGTATGCAAACTTTCAAGATATACAAGTAATCCTAGTACCGAACATTGGAGGGCTATTGGAAGAGTTTTCGGTTATCTTAAAAGGACAAAGTCATTTGCCTTGTTTTATAACAAATTTCCTTCGGTACTAGAAGACTATACAGATGCTAGTTGGATAACTAGTATCAATGATAACAAATCAACGTTTGGTTGGATTTTCACATTAGGTGGAAGAGCTATCTCATGGGCTTCTAAGAAACAGACGTGTATTACTCATTCCACAATGGAATCTGAATTTATTGCATTGGCAGCGGCAGGTAAAGAGGCGGAATGGCTGAGAAATTTATTGTTGGATATAAAGTTGTGGCCACAACCAATGCCAGTAGTCTCTTTGCACTGTGATAGTCAAGCAACTATGTTTAGGGCTTTTAGCAAGATTTATAATGGTAAATCTAGACATATTGCTTTAAGACATGAATATATTAGACAACTACTTTCTGATGGTATAATCACAGTTGTTTATGTCAGGTCTGGTAAAAACCTGGCTGATCCATTAACTAAAGGACTCTCGAGAGATATGATTAAAAGTACTACGAGTGCAATGGGTCTTAAACAATTCTAAATTTGTCACTAATAATGGAAACCCTACATTTCTTGTTGCTTAGCAATTTTAAAGGTTTAAGTGGTAATAACAAGTTATTAGTGATTGTTAGCAAGCACAATGTTTTATACACAGTGCTTATGGAAAAGGAGGTTAAATATTAATTATTCTTAATGAAGAATTTGTGTTCTGTTTTAGGAACAAGAAAGTTCAAACTTTGAAACTTTAAGAACTCTTCACCTATGTGAACGCAAGAAGTGCTGCTTCTATCAAAAGTTTGAAAATAAAACTTTGTAAGTGTTCATGAAACTAGGAGGTAGCACAAGACCATAATATGGTGCTAAAGCTCACGGTGAACATATTTAGAGAAACTTGTAAGTTTATGTATATGACATTTCGATCTTTTTTTATTAAATCAAGGTTTAATAAATTTAAATAACCATTGATTTTGACAAGATTTTGAAATGTTTATACTAATAGCAGATTTAAGTCGAAAGACACCATCTATATGCATAGACTTTAGTTAATTTTGATTACTTACATTACTATCTAAGTGGGGGATTGTTAGAGATAGTTAGTAATGTAAAGAATCCCACATTGAAAAAGTTGAAAGAAAATGTAAGGGTTTAAAAGGAGAAACATACCAAATTTTATAAATTTGGATGTTGGGAAGATTTGGAGGGAAGTTTCAAATATTTCAAATCAATGGGCCTTAATTAGACTTTAAATAAAATAATCTTTAAAGTTAAAAGATGGGCACTTGGGGCATCTTGGGCTTGAAACCTTTAAATAATTAATTATTTTTGTATTAATTAATTGCTAAATGTCTTTTGGCCCAAGAGTTGTGTCTCCTCTTTACATCTCTTTGGCCCAAGAGTAATGTCTCCTCTTTACATCTCTTTGGCTTAAAAGTTGTGTCTCCTCACTAAGGTATTATAAATACCTGTACAGATCTTTCAATTGAAGTATATACAAAAAAATGTTTCTCTATTTTGTTCTTGGGAGAATTTTAGAGTTTGTTATCTGAAATTTTGTTTGGCTTTGTTAATCCTAGAGAAATTTGCCATAAATCCAGCAGCAACATAGTGGGGCATAATTTCTTTAAGGACAGTGAATGCACGATCAAAGTCTTTTAATTTGATGAAATCCTATTTTGCTAACAGTTTCTAGCTTAGGTCATGATCGGATTGTATGGGGAGAGATTACTGATGGTCGTTTCTCGGTTTGGTCAGCATATAAGGTTCAAGCGTCTCCTTATTTTCAGCCTCAAGATGATGGTTATAGGTTAGTGTGGAAGTGGCAAGGCCCAAAGTGAGTGAGATTGTTTTTATGGCTTGCTTTGCATGGTAAATTGATGACCAACGAGGAGAGAGTGAGACGTCATCTAAGTATGTCAGCTGGGTGTTCTCACTACATGACTATGACTAAGAATATATTGCATGTTCTTCCAGATTGCGTCGCGGCTTGTAAGGTATGACACTTGCTTGTTCCTGTAGAATTGGAACATGACTTTTTTAGCAGCCCGTTGCATACATGGCTGAAAAACAATATGAGATCAACACATGTGATATACAACCGGCCTTGGACTATAGTCTTTGGCATGTGCTGTTGGCTTTTGTGGCAATGGCGAAATTGGACCATTTTTTACAGTGATTTTGTGAGGCATGTTCGGCCAGAGCTGGTGGTGTGGGAGAAAGTTGATGCAATTTAGGTGGCTCGAGAAATGGGGCTGCAAAATATTGGAAAAGATAGAGAGAAGGTTTGGGCACAAGTTGTATGGACTCCCCCAAAGAATGGCTGGGTTAAATTGAATACAAATGACTCATTTTGGAAACATACGGGTCACGCCGGGGCTGGTGGTCTCATTAAAGATGTTACGGGTAAATGGCTTGGTAGTTTTGCTCGAAATATTGGAGCTTGCTCTATTGTGTCTACGGAATTATGGGTTGTTCTATATGGCCTACAGATGGCTTGGGAGTTGAGTTTAAGCATATTGAGCTGGAGGTTGACTCCAAAACGGTGGTTGCTATTCTGCGTGAGGAAGGGGAAGATGATCATCGTTCTTTGGTCTTACAAATTTGAGCACTATTATTGCTTGAGTTGTATGTTCAGATTCAACATGTTTATCAGGAAGCAAATGCTTGTGCAGACTGGTTAGCCAATTTGGCTCATCAGTTGGCTTTGGGGAACACTGTTTTCTAGAGGCCTCTTATAGGGATACTTTCCCTGATTGTTTCGAATGCGTATGATGTCTGTTTTTATAGGTTGATTGTTGTTTAGTTTTGAGCTTCGACTCTCTTTGTAACCAAAAAAAAATATATATACATAATTTAAGGAAGGGTAAACAAGTAAAATAAATAAAAGGTTATTTGAATTTTGTATCTAATTGAGGGACACTTTCTCTCAAATAAATCTAAAAAAATATACTCACACCAAAAAAAACTATAATATACTCACACCCAAAAAAAACTCTAAAATCTACCACCCCTTTAATCACCCTATTATAACTAGGAGTGTCAAAATATAACATGGTTTGTTATCACGACACGAAATTAGAGAGTTTGGTTCTTCATTAAGTCATCTGTTTATGGATTCAACACGATACAATTAATAAATAAATTAAATATGAGTAAAGTTGATTAAAAGAAATATACGATTTGACTAATTTATATACCAGTTATACACGACACGAATCTAATAAGACATGACTCAATAGACATAAATTAATAAACGAATTGAGTGTGAGTTAAATACTTTTCAATACAAACTCGCCTCCCTCGGCATGATTGACACGGCTAATTATAACTACTTCTCCGATCACACTCAACATTTTATAGCTCTCTCTCCTTTTGTCTCTTCCCCACTTACATATCTTTCTATTCATCTCCCTTTATTTTTTTTATTTTTTACAGTCTTGCATACAAGTGACCATATGCAGGACCAGTTAGTCAGAACTAAAGTTCTAAACAAAATAAATTACCCCTGACATTGGATCAAATAAAACGTACACTCCTTGTCATTACAAAAATGACACAATGATCCCCTGGTGTTTGCAACTTACAACAGAAATACCTCTCACTCGTAACGGATGTTAGAAACCCTAACAAAAAATGATGACAACAGCCAAATAATATACTATATTTTCAAAATTGCCCAAATTAGAATTAACTAGGTCAAAATTAAATACAAAATAGACTTTAGGTTAGGTCCAAACTCATGCCCAAACCCTAAAAAACATTTGACCCATTTCCTCGAACCAGACTCTCATCATCTTCTCCACCCATCCTAGCTCATCCGTTTTTCTCTCTCCCCCATCTAAACATCCCCCTCGTACCCCCACCACATCATCATTTGCCTTCTTGTAACCACCCCTAACTTGCACAGCCCCTAACTAGAGTATTCTCTACCCCCGCAAACCACCCCTTTTCTTTCTCCTTCCCCTTTCTCTCCGTCTCTCTCTCTCACACACACTCATTTTCATAAATACACACCCTCACTTTCACGTATTCATATGCATATCTATATAATAAAATACATATTGAATTTTTATTCTTTACATATCTTCCCCTAAAAATATCACATCATGCATTTTTATCAAATGTTCAATTATTTAATATTTAATTAATTTATAATTTAATATAATTTTTATTTCAAATATTACTCATATACGATAGTATACACATATTAAAAAATTTTAATATAGTGAAATTAATTTTTTGGGTGTTCAACTTTTATGTTCTATCATGCCTTTATTCACGGGGTTGTGACTAATATATACATAAAGAGGGAGGTTATGCTGCTTAATTTGTGTTGATTTGGTCAAATGTAGATTTGATTTTGGTGTCTAGTGTAGATTTAGTTTAATTTTGCAGTCAGTTGCAGTTTTGGAGAGAGAAAAAGATATTTTTTTTAAAATCAATTTAAGTATAAAGAAGTAATTGTACTATGTCTATGTCTATGTCTATTAACGTTGTTGCATCTTTTGATGCCATTAAAAGGTCAATGTGTATTTTTATATGTGAAGGACTATCCATGTTATTTCGTTAAATGTCAAAGGTACGAAGAAAATAGGAGAGTCTATCGTACCACCTAGGGAAAAAGTGATACTGTCAACTTTTTGTCATTAAATATTACTCAAATGTGTGATTATGAATTTTTTGTCATTAAATATTATTCACTAAAGATAATGACTTTGTCTATAAATGCAATAACATTACTTTAAAGGGTTGTAAACCCACCTCAAAATATTTTAGTATTATTTTTTTGAGCTTATAATTTTTTGAGGTGAGTTTACAACCCTTTAAAGTAATGTTATTACATTTATATGCAAAGTTATCATCTTTAGTGAGTAATATTTAATGACAAAAAATTTACAGCCACACATTTGAGTAATATTTAATTACAAAAAATTGACATCCACATATTTTTGGTTGTACGGTTCCACTTTTTCCTTAGGCAGTACCATGGACTCTCCCAAAGAAAATTTACCCAAAGAAGAAAAATTGTATCCAACACGGAGCACTAATGGCTTTAACATGAGTAATGCTACATGAATTTAAAAAATAGAGTTTATAATTACAACTATTAATTTCATTATAGATCCCAGTATTTATTAAAAATTATTACTTATTCAATGATTGTAATTATCAAATCTATTTTTAAATTCATATAACATTACTCTCTTACTATAGGTAGAGGTGGAAGGTACAACTTTTTCCAGAATGATATGACTCTGAATGCCACTATTGCGACTGTCTCGATTTTCCAGAACTTTTAGAGAATCTTTAGTAAAAAGTTACAATAGAGAATGAATTTTTACACATCATTCCAATAAGACCCTCAATTCGTATCATTTTATTATTTGTTTTATCCTTTTTAGAAATAAATTTAGCTCCCCCCCCCCCCCCCCCCAATATCCCTTCAATCACGTTCAAACCTTCAATGACTTCAGGTGTGCTAGCTCACACTTTTATTTTTTTCTCCATTTAAACACCTTTGCATTCTAGTGATATTTCTCAATAATAAAATTAATAATACTATGCTGACCAAAATTAGAAACCAAATAAAGAGCTCAAATGACATGACAATTGATTTGGAAAGTTGATTAGGCAAGATTAATATTTGGGGCAAAATTTTTCGTCTTCTCTACTTCCCTAACATGCACAAACCAAAAAAACAGAGAAAATAAGTTTTTTTTGGCAAAAAACGTAAGCATAGAAAGCTTCTGTGTTCTCTTTGGCCCATCTGTCCAAAGAGACGTCTCTCTCCAAGAAGTTCTCTTTGGCTTCAAGCCTTCATCTTGAACGACCAAGTAAAAAAGAGAGAAAAAAACAATGTCGACCCAGAACAGAGGAGGGAAGATTGCTTCTTAAATTCAGATTATACATTCAAAATTGCTTCTGTAGTGATTCATTTGTCCTCTTACTCATGTGTAGCCACCCAAGTGTGTTGGTTACACTTTTACGTTATAACTTTTTTTTTAATGTTCTTTATCGTTGTACTTGATTTGCATATTGCAATGCAAACTTATGCTTGAGTTCTTCTCCTTCTCTGTATTATTTTTGCCTGAATGTATACTTTGATGCACTCCAACTGTTCGATGAAATGCTTATTTGGCTCAATAAAGGGTAGAAGAGAGTGAATGTTCTTCAATGTCTCTGAGTTTTATCTATATTGAGTTCAAGCAAAAGCAAATTCCCAAAGTAATTTCAAATCTTGCTCTTTAACATGCTCAAAGTGACATAGTGCTCATCCCTTCTTATAGAGGAATTGCCAAATGAGGGAGCGATCAAATAATCCCCCCCCTACTATGTTCTTCCTTAGGGATGTCAGTGGACCGAAGCGGGGGCGGAGAGTGTAGTCTTCATCCTCGTACCTACTTAAAAAAACTTCGTCCATCCCCGGTCCACTCCCATTAATAAGTATAGTTTTTATCTTCATCCCCGCTTCCCCGTACCCACCTAAGCCCAAGCCCAAACCCAAACCCAAACCCAAACCCAAGCCTAAGCTCAAGCCCAAGTAGCATAATCCAAAATTTTAAATAAATTCAATATTTTAAATAATCTAACAATATTCTAAATAATCTAGCACAACATAATGTAAATAGTAAAATGTAAAAGTCAAAATAATATAATATTCTATTTAAAGTGTCATTGGACCATAAAAAGAGAAACGGAACTATTAGAGAGAAATGAAGAAAAGGAAAATAAAATTGAACTAAGAAAACGATAGCACTATACTTGAAGTTTCCTACATAATTTTTTATTATTACAATTCATATTACAACCATAAAGTGTTAAAAGATGAAAATATAAAATTTCGCTAATTCAATAATTCTCTCCATTTCTTAGTTCACTCTAGCAGAGAAACTCATCAACCTTCATTCACAATATTTCTACCCACGAAGAAATCTAAAACTATTTTACTCTCTCTTATCTGTTTTTAGAGCGTGTTCAATTCAAACTACTAACAGTTTCAATCAGTGAGCACAAAAAGAAAAAGAACAATCAGGCAAAAAAGTTGATAAGATTATCACATAGCAATGTCACTTGTTAGTTTGATTACCATATTTCTAGATTGGTAGTTACAGTAAATATATTTAGTTAGGGCTTGAGAGTATATATATATATAACAGGTAGAGGGGGCGGGGGAAGGGGAGGGGCGGGGGTAAGGGTAAATCCATTCCCACCTTTAACCTTGTATGGGTTTATACGGATATCCCCGTATACGTCCACCGTCTAATACATATAGTCCATCCCCGGTTCAAATGAGGCGGGTTTGGACAACTACCCATTTTTTCCGGTCCATTGTCATCCCTACTAAACGTAGTGCTGCCCACCTTTGTTCTTGTTTGGTGGAAGTTTTGGCTCAAGGCAGCTACTTCCCCCCATTTATTTTGTCCAGATCATTGTAGGTTTGTTGCTTAGGTGAATTTTTTGAACAACTTTGACATATTTTTTTGCACATATTGAGGGAGCGATCAAAGAATTATTATCTCAGAGTTTGGGTCTATGATGAGGAATTTGGATTGAAGTTTAAGCTCAAGGCCTCCACTTCTTCTAAATTCTATCTTCGGGGAACACCGACTGTTTTTTTCTTGCATGACCATTGTTCTTTTCTCATGGCCTGTGTTATCTTTTGATTTTTTTGACATGGTCACTGGGAATGCCTCACATTATTTTTGTAAGGGTCATCCCTTTTCT